GATGTAGTAAACATTGTTTATGTAGTAAGATTATTGAATTTCAATAGTGAAAAACAACACAAAACCACTAGAATCGTTACAAAATAAGAGATCTTGTAAAACACGTTCTTGATGATCGTTATTCAAAATTAATGACCTAATAATAATACAAATTAATTTTCATGAAGAATTTTTCGTCGAAGGAAATTGAAAAATATATATATATATTGTTTTGTCCTTATTTTCTATCCTCTTTTTTATCGATTTTAACAAGAATTATCAATTGTAGTCATTCCGATATTCTATTGTTTTCACAAAGTTTTAGATATTATTGCTCCTAGGAGAAGACTATGACAGGTCAGTTATAGTTTTCTACCTTCTAAATTTAATATTTATCCTGATACATCTACATGTACGTCATACGTATTCACAGGAAATAGAACAATTCAAAAAGTGACAAAAATATCCACCAATCCTGTCTTTGAAAACATCTGCAAGTCTCGCATCAAATTTAGTGTTAATCTTGATCTTATTTGAGAACGAGATTTACTAACTTGGATGCACCAAGATTTCCAAGGCAGATGCCATCGATGAATTAGAAGTACGGGTATCTATCTTTAAATTTGTATTAAAAGGTAATATTTACTTGTCCGTCATTTTAACAGTCTGAACACATTACATAATAACAGTTAATGGTTATAACTGTGACAAACATTAATGGTTACACTTGATCATGGTTATAATTGTGACAAACATTAGTGGTTACACTTGATCATGGTTATAATTGTGACAAACATTAATGGTTACACTTGATGATGGTAAAACAAGATGGTTATAATTGTGACAAACATTAATGGTTACACTTGATGATGGTAAAAACTGTGACAAACATTAATGGTTACACTTGATGATGGTTATAATTGTGACAAACATTAGTGGTTACACTTGATCATGGTTATAATTGTGACAAACATTAGTGGTTACACTTGATCATGGTTATAATTGTGACAAACATTATTGGTTACACTTGATGATGGTAAAACAAGTTATAAACATTAATGGTTACACTTGATCATGGTTATAATTGTGACAAACATTAGTTAAACATTAATGGTTACACTTGATGATGGTTATAATTGTGACAAACATTAGTGGTTACACTTGATCATGGTTATAATTGTGAAAAACATTAGTGGTTACACTTGATCATGGTTATAATTGTGACAAACATTAGTGGTTACACTTGATGATGGTTATAATTGTGACAAACATTAATGGTTACACTTGATGATGGTAAAAACTGTGACAAACATTAATGGTTACACTTGATGATGGTAAAAACTGTGACAAACATTAATGGTTACACTTGATGGTTACACTTGATGATGGTTATAATTGTGACAAACATTAAGTGGTTACACTTGATGATGGTAAAACAAACATTGTGACAAACATTAATGGTTACACTTGATCATGTTATAACAAACATTAGTGGTTAATTGTGACAAACATTAATGGTTACACTTGATGATGGTAAAAACTGTGACAAACATTAATGGTTACACTTGATGACAAACATGGTTACACTTAATTGTGACAAACATGGTTACACTTGATGATGGTTAAAACTGTGACAAACATTAATGGTTACACTTGATGATGGTAAAAACTGTGACAAACATTAATGGTTACACTTGATGATGGTTATAATTGTGACAAACATTAATGGTTACACTTGATGATGGTAAAACAAGTTATAAACATTAATGGTTACACTTGATCATGGTTATAATTGTGACAAACATTAGTGGTTACACTTGATGATGGTTATAATTGTGACAAACATTAATGGTTACACTTGATGATGGTAAAAACTGTGACAAACATTAATGGTTACACTTGATGATGGTTATAATTGTGACAAACATTAATGGTTACACTTGATGATGGTAAAAACTGTGACAAACATTAATGGTTACACTTGATGATGGTTATAATTGTGACAAACATTAGTGGTTACACTTGATGATGATTATAATTGTGACTAATATTAATGGTTACACTTGATGATGGTTATAACTATGACAAACATTAATGGTTACACTTGATTATAATTGTGACAAACATTAATGGTTACACTTGATGATGGTAAAAACTGTTACAAACATTAATGGTTACACTTGATGATGGTTAATAAACTGTGACAAACATTATGGTTACACTTGATGATGTTATAATTGTGACAAACATTATAATTGTGACAAACATTAATGGTTACACTTGATGATGGTTATAATTGTGACAAACATTAATGGTTACACTTGAAGTTACACTTAAAGACTGTGACAAACATTACTTGATGATGCTTATAATTGTGACAAACATTAAGTGGTTACACTTGATGATGGTGACAAACATAAAACTTGATCATGGATGACAAACATTAATGGTTACACTTGATGATGGTAAAAACTGTGACAAACATTAATGGTTACACTTGATCATGGTTATAATTGTGACAAACATTAATGGTTACACTTGATGATGGTAAAACCTGTGACAAACATTAATGGTTACACTTGATGATGGTAAAAACTGTGACAAACATTAATGGTTACACTTGATGATGGTAAAAACTGTGACAAACATTAATGGTTACACTTGATGATGGTTATAATTGTGACAAACATTAATGGTTACACTTGATGATGGTAAAAACTGTGACAAACATTAATGGTTACACTTGATGATGGTAAAAACTGTGACAAACATTAATGGTTACACTTGATGATGGTTATAATTGTGACAAACATTAATGGTTACACTTGATGATGGTTATAATTGTGACAAACATTAATGGTTACACTTGATGATGGTAAAAACTGTGACAAACATTAATGGTTGACAAACACTGTTATAAACATTAATGGTTACACTTGATGATGGTAAAAACTGTGACAAACATTAATGGTTACACTTGATGATGGTTATAATTGTGACAAACATTAGTGGTTACACTTGATGATGGTTATAATTGTGACAAACATTAATGGTTACACTTGATAATAGTAAAAACTTTGACAAACATTAATGGTTACACTTGATCATGGTTATAATTGTGACAAACAATAGTGGTTACACTTGATGATGGTTATAATTGTGACAAACATTAATGGTTACACTTGATGATGGTAAAAACTGTGACAAACATTAATGGTTACACTTGATGATGGTAAAACCTGTGACAAACATTAATGGTTACACTTGATGATGGTAAAAACTGTGACAAACATTAATGGTTACACTTGATGATGGTAAAAACTGTGACAAACATTAATGGTTACACTTGATGATGGTTATAATTGTGACAAACATTAGTGGTTACACTTGATGATGATTATAATTGTGACTAATATTAATTGTTACACTTGATGATGGTTATAATTGTGACAAGCATTAATGGTTACATTTGATGATAGTAAAGACTGTGACAAACATTAATGGTTATACTTGATGATGCTTATAATTGTGACAAACATAAGTGGTTACACTTGATGATGGTAAAACTATGACAAACATAATTGGTTAAACTTGATCATGGTTATAACTATGACAAACATTAATGGTTACACTTGATGATGGTAAAAACTGTGACAAACATTAATGGTTACACTTGATCATGGTTATAATTGTGACAAACATTAATGGTTACACTTGATGATGGTAAAACCTGTGACAAACATTAATGGTTACACTTGATGATGGTAAAAACTGTGACAAACATTAATGGTTACACTTGATGATGGTAAAAACTGTGACAAACATTAATGGTTACACTTGATCATGGTTATAATTGTGACAAACATTAATGGTTACACTTGATGATGGTAAAACCTGTGACAAACATTAATGGTTACACTTGATGATGGTAAAAACTGTGACAAACATTAATGGTTACACTTGATCATGGTTATAATTGTGACAAACATTAATGGTTACACTTGATGATGGTTATAATTGTGACAAACATTAATGGTTACACTTGATGATGGTAAAAACTGTGACAAACATTAATGGTTACACTTGATCATGGTAAAAACTGTGACAAACATTAATGGTTACACTTGATGATGGTTATAATTGTGACAAACATTAGTGGTTACACTTGATGATGGTTATAATTGTGACAAGCATTAATGGTTACACTTGATAATAGTAAAAACTTTGACAAACATTAATGGTTACACTTGATGATGGTTATAATTGTGACAAACATTAATGGTTACACTTGATAATAGTAAAAACTGTGACAAACATTAATGGTTACACTTGATGATAGTAAAAACTGTGACAAACATTAATGGTTACACTTGATGATGGTAAAAACTGACAAACATTAATGGTTACACTTGATGATGATTATAACTGTGACAAACATTAATGGTTACACTTGATGATGGTTATAATTGTGACAAACATTAATGGTTACACTTGATGATGGTTATAATTGTGACAAACATTAATGATTACACTTGATGATGGTTATAATTGTGACAAACATTAATGATTACACTTGCTGATGGTAAAACTATGACAAACATTAGTGGTTACACTTGCTGATGGTAAAACTATGACAAACATTAGTGGTTACACTTGCTGATGGTAAAACTATGACAAACATTAATGGTTACACTTGATCATGGTTATAACTATGACAAACACTAATGGTTACACTTGATGATGGTAAAACCTGTGACAAACATTAATGGTTACACTTGATGATGGTAAAACTATGACAAACATAAATTGGTCAATCTTGATTATTATAACGCTGACAAATATTAGTTGTGACGATACTAAACCCTGATAAACATCATAGTTATACCAGATAATGGTAGTAACTTTGAAAAAACACTATAGATTATACTTGATGACGGTTATGGAAGTGACTAATGTATGTTGAGTCATTTTTTGTTAGTTTAGACTATATTACTATTTTTTCAGTAACAAGATGTTGTCATGAGTGTTATCGTTAAAAAAACAGCAGTATGTTAATGTCTGGTTTTACTTATTCCGGCTTCACTTGACATACTTTGTGACTTGTCACGTTTCTGAGGGTGTAAATTCACATGTGTATTTATACACACTGATCGTTCCATCATTGAATCCCATCCATACATTGCCATCATTATCAACTGCCATTGATCTCGGTGCAGGCTGACAACCAGTCATCAACACCTTCAGTGGCACACAACCCGGATCTAGCAATTGCACAGTTTTTGAGTGGTATTCGGCGATAAGAATAAGATTGCTATCATTAAACAGCACATCGTTCACACAAAACCTGTCTGGTAGCTCAGGCATCTCTTCCTCGGCACTGATGATTACTCCAAAACCAATACAGCGACGTTCAAGCTTTAGTTCACTATCTAAAAGTACTAAATGACCCTTAAACTTTGCAGTTCCATTGATAATGGCCACCTTTCCACTGTTGCTGATGCCAATATTACACGGTATATGAAATATGTCACGACCATTGATGTCCTTATGGACACGAGTCAGTTCCTTGCCTTTGCTACTGTATTTCACTAGTACTGATGTTGTATTCGGTTGATCAGCTAAAGATGTCTTGTTTGTCATTGTCACAAGTATATCTCCGTTCATAGTTGAACACATGTTATTGGGCGCCAGTGGATCTGTACGAATGACTGTAGTGGTTGCATGGAATTGTTTGTCTTGCTTAAGTTCCACTCGTTTGATACACTTTTTTGAAGGACATGAAATCAAGACTTGGTTTGTTATCGGTGACACTAGAATATCAGATACCGTTGTGTTGCAAGGAACACAGTGTTTTAGAACCCCATTCCGTCCGACAAGTTTAATATTATCCTTTTTGTAGCACTTAAGCCAGACGTTTCCGTCCGCAGCTGGACGCATTGCAAACGCAGCCGAAGACACGTTGAAGCTACAAGTTGGTGTCAGATTGATATCGCACTTGATACTTTTGGAACTATGTGTATATTTCAGTTCCGTGGAAATGTCTGTTGGGGCCTCTGGTAATGTCGCAAGAGACATGTCTCTCTCTGGACCATCCCCATATAGATCCAGAGTACATACACTTATTGCATCAGATGGGCTATAGGGACGTGGACTTCCCCCATTCGGATAAAACGTATCCTGACCATGCACGTCCCGCTGTACAACCTCTCCGAAAAACGTTTCTATGTTGTCTGTATTTCCAGAGGTGTCTGTAATAAATTCAAGCTTGTTTGTCTTTGGAAAATCCAGTTGCACAATTTCTGGGACTGTTATTGTCCATCCTTGTACTATAACCTCCGACAAGTTGTCACACAACCGAAGTCTCGTTATTCGATCTGTAAAGTCTTTAACCTTCAGCAAGTTTTCTTCGGTTTGTCGTTTGAACTTACTTAGTTCCGCTAATGTTAATTCACGCTGCTTTTCAAGTTGCTTTGTAAAATTCTTAGTAACTGCATCCAATAGTTGTCCTAGCTGATCCCGTCTTCTGAGAAGGTCTTGTTTAGTTTTGTCAAAACCTGTTTCTTCCTCCTGGAGTCTAACACAAACTTCGTTAAGGTCTGTTTCTAGTTTGTTATTTAGTGAACTATCAAATGATTTTGTAAGATTGTTAATAACAGTCTCGGCAACATTTTCCAGTGAGCGAAAAATATGTCCATCGTGGTATTGTTCGTCAATACATGTGCTGCAGACAATAGTTTTACAGGATAAACACGCCAAGTTTCTATCTTTACCATGGTGTGAGCAGGCCATTCTCAATCATCATTGCTGTATGTACTTTCTGTATACTCGGCACCGCCTTCTTACTAACTCACATCTGTTACTTTAACAAGGAAGCTATAAACTGGGAAATCCCACTATTCATAATGCGTTCACACAAAGTCTGGTGAGCTTACATTAATTTTATGACAAAGATGTCAACAGTAGATTAAGAAATGGTAATGTTAATGGTGTTTTATCATCGATATTTTTATGTAATGACCTCCAGGACGGGAGCAATGGGATGGTGTGTTTACACCCGTATAACTCTCTGATGTGTTGTGATATTGTATAATATAACATACATATACTTATATAACCTAGCTATACTCTGGGTAAACAGACGATTACATGGTAACAAAATATGTCATTCACTTTAACTTTATTACACAGATATAAATTACTTCTTCCTGTTTATAACGTGTAGCTTTTCAAGGATATTCATATATATGTAAGTCCTGTGATCGGATTTCCATCAGTTAAGATTTATTGTTTTAAGAAATCACCAAACTCTACATCGAGAGTATTTGAAAACAATCTTGATGGGTCTACAAGCATCCTGCACTAACCCCAAATGTCAAATAAAAACATCTTTTGTAATATGTAATCCTATCTCAGTTTAAGAATTTTAAGTTGTAAAGCCAATTTTTTGGAGAACATTATATTGTTAAACTCTCATGTTCACCTCGCAAGTGTATTGTGTCCGTGATTACATTGTTCATTAATTCTATTGCTACAGACAGGGTTGTTTGTGACGTCATGAACTAAGTTATGATTAGATAATAAATATTGAGCGAATATGTTTTTAAAAAATGACAGAGAAAATGTGTTTGCTATAAAAAAAAACACTTTTTCATTAACAAATGCAGACTGCATACCATGTTATTTTATTCTTTAACCATTGAAGAGGATAATTAAACTGCTATGACCGGCAAGCTTGGTGCACCTTTATATGGTACACAAAGATACAAAAATTGATACATTTTTACTCATTTTGGGTCATGATAAGAAACAACCATCAAGTATTTACTTCCCTTGTACCTCCCTCTTTTGTGATGTAGCAGTGCGACAGGTCGAAAATGAGTCAGAATATATGTGTGTACACTGTGAATTAATAGCACGTTTCGGCGAGGATGTTCAGTCACGCTTGATGTGGCTACAATAAGCACTTTTCATACACAAATATCAACAGAAGTAGTGTGACCTATATTACATGGAACTGCCTGTACACATGTTGTTGAGGAACTAGAAAAGACAGACTTGTAGGAACGGGACAAGTCCACCCATGGAATACACGCATTAGCGGATTTGGGAATTGTCTTGCATATAATTGTTTGGAAAGACAATGAGATTTAATACTATAATTCCGGGGTCTCTGATGGTAGGCGTGTGTATAGTCATACTGAACCAATACGCAGGACAAGTTCAAGGTATGTACTCACATTGTACCTTCTAACTAAAATCATTTTGATGAATTGCCGAGGATATATTATCTGTTTAGGGTCTACATTTATACGTTTCCATGTAAAAACAATATGATTTTGAAGGGAAGCAACTGTATGTAGGACTAGTGGACTATGTTACGTTATGTCAAGACAGTTTACAGTGAACTAACAGAACCTTCAATATCCAAAAATATTATCGATGAAAGCAAAAAACAAATATACCTGATACCACCCCTCTATGTAAACCACCAGCTTGATGTAACAGGACGCAAATGCGTACGTGTTAAGAATACATAATACTTATTACTTATCTTTAGTTCTAGTTATAGTATTCCCAAATTTTAGGGTCTATGTCAGGTAGCCAACAAATGCTTCAAGGTACCACTCCTCAAAATGGCCTGGTTATTGATAGGAGGATGAAGCCAACAAATAAACAGAATATTGAATGCTTTAGCCAACAAATAAACAGAATATTGAATGTTTTAGCCAACAAATAAACAGAATATTGAATGTTTTAGCCAACAAATAAACAGAATATTGAATGCTTTAGCCAACAAATAAACAGAATATTGAATGATTAAGGCAACAAATAAACAGAATATTGAATGTTTTAGCCAACAAATAAACAGAATATTGAATGGTTTAGCCAACAAGAAAAACAGAATATTGAATGCTTTAACCAACAAATAAACAGAATATTGAATGCTTTAGCCAACAAATAAACAGAATATTGAATGGTTTAGCCAACAAATAAACAGAATATGTAATGGTTTAGCCAACAAATAAACAGAATGTTGAATGCTTTAGCAAACAAATAAACAGAATATTTAATGGTTTAGCCAACAAATAAACAGAATATTGAATGCTTTAGCCAACAAATAAACAGAATATTTAATGGTTTAGCCAACAAATAAACAGAATATTTAATGGTTTAGCCAACAAATAAACAGAATATTTACTGGTTTAGCCAACAAATAAACAGAATATTGAGTGGTGTAGCCAACAAATAAACAGAATATTGAGTGGTGTAGCCAACAAATAAACAGAATATTGAATGTTTAAGGCAACAAATAAACAGAATATGTAATGGTTTAGCCAATAAATAAACAGAATATTGAATGGTTTAGCCAACAAATAAACAGAATATTGAATGTTTTAGCCAACAAATAAACAGAATATTGAATGCTTTAGCCAACAAATAAACAGAATATTTAATGGTTTAAGCAACAAATAAACAGAATATTAAATGGTTTAGCCAACAAATAAACAGAATATTTAATGCTTTAGCCAACAAATAAACAGAATATTGAATGCTTTAGCCAACAAATAAACAGAATATTTAATGATTACGCCAGCTTACATATCCCTGAATTATCATTAGAAACGGATATGTGAGTAATACTTAGTACTTGTCACGAGACTCATCGGCTACAAAGTTATATTTAACATACACTTCACCATATAATTATTACAATGACATATCTTATGCTCTGTACAATTCGTCATTATTTAAAAGTGAGTGTTGAAGTCCAATGTACGCTTTATACTTGCCTGATTTACGAGTCAGAGATATATAAGAAGCATGAGAGTACAACAACATATATACTTTATCAACTATGTTCATCTTTCAGTATATAATTTGACACACAATTTTCTATAGGTTAAGGCAAAGGACCCATAGTTCTTCAATTCGGTTAAAACACAAAATATCTCTATCACAACATTGAATAGAATTTCTATGATCATTACAAGTTTAAGTCAACGTACTATGACACCTCGACCAGCATTGACAAGATGTTTGAATAAAAATATAATGATGTCTCTTTTGGTTAGTTTGTAGTTGTCCTATCTGCTACAAAGGTCAAATTTCTATCTGCAGCGTAGCTTAAATAGCTCTGGCAACACGTACTGTTTTATATGGCTATTCATCTGAGTTTGACTTCCTAAGCCGACAGCCCGGCTAATAAGAGAAAGGTTATTTGTAGGTACACGTTTTGCTAGCGCTTAAGTTTTTCTTTTCGTTTTTGATTCTTGCATTTAATTTTTATACTTGTAAACGTCATTGAAACCAACTGTTGGTGTTTTCACAGGACTTACGTGCATAAATTGTGCCGATTTTGCCATCAATGGGTCGGCTGCGGGGGCGGTTGTGACTCCAATCCTGAGCGCTATCCCGGGAATCCGGGAAAAGAACTGTCGGACAGCCACTGCGACTTCAGACATTGACTTGATCACTTGTCCACCAAATCCTGCATCTGGGGACCGTGTTTACCGATGTGGAGCCTATACCGGCACAATCAATGTTGTTGCTCCGCTTGATCTATTCAGTATGTACGATATCCCTACCAGGTTTCCTATTATTTCACAAGAAAAATAAAGACCTATAAATTTAAAACATTTCTAAACAATTTGATACAAGTTCACAATACTGATTTGTTAAAAATGTCTTTGAGGTGAAGAAACATGTCATTTCAATTGAACTGATTGGAATCCATTGCCAAAGTCAACTAACAGGTCAGATCAGGAATTTGGTGATAGGGTTATCTATCATGCAGTGCATTTATAAGTCTTAAAACTTATTTTCTTTATTTCAGATATTCCTGTTCATATAATTGACCGTGAATGTGTTTTGATCTATAAGGGCTTGAGCGATGGCTGTCACCCTCAGAGTTTTGCCCAACAGGACGCGGCTACTTTCCAAAAGATCTTCGACAATCTTGATAGCATAGGAGCTGTCAGCTTCAGGGGAAATATCTGTATCAGTGGTGATATATCCGCTGCCTCCAGCTTTCACATCGGACAGTCTTTGGTTGTCTTAGTAGTGACATATTTTCTGAATAGAATTTTCGTGTCGTGATCGAGTCTGCATTAGAAACTGTGCGTATATAATATCACTTTTTTATGGATAAGAACGTGATATGTAATTTACCAATTTGTTATAGGTTTTCTGGAATACAAATACGTGATACAAAATCGTGATCATCATTTATGCCATATTTCGTCGTTCAAATGCGATGATCATGTCACACAATTTCAAATTGTTTAGGTACCCCATTAAGTCTTTGCTAATGAGACGTTGACTTTGTGGGAAACCCTCTAAAATTGTGTATAGACATATTAGGAACATATGTGTGAGAGGAAGAACTTTCATATGCGTGCTGAAATAGGAATTTTTATTTTCTTTATTGTATGCATGCTAAAATGGGGATTTCTGTACGAATAATGAGTAAAATTTTGTTCGCATGCTGAGAGGGAGATTTATGTACGCACGATGAGAGGGGGATTGATGTACGCATGATGAGAAGGAGATTGATGTACGCATGCTAAGAGGGAGATTTATGTATGAATGATGAGAGGGGGATTGATGTACGCACGATGAGAGGGGGATTGATGTACGCATGATGAGAGGGAGATTGATGTACGCACGATGAGAGGGGGATTAATGTACGCATGATGAGAGGGAGATTGATGTACGCATGATGAGAGGGGGATTTATGTACGCACGCTGAGAGGGAGATTGATGTACGCATGATGAGAGGGGGATTGATGTACGCATGATGAGAGGGGGATTGATGTACGCATGATGAGAGGGGGATTGATGTACGCACGATGAGAGGGAGATTGATGTACGCACGATGAGAGGGAGATTGATGCCTGCACAGTTGAGACGGAGATTGATGTACGCATGATGAGAGGGGGATTGATGTATGAATGATGAGAGGGGGATTGATGTACGCATGATGAGAGGGGGATTGATGTACGCACGATGAGAGGGGGATTGATGTACGCATGATGAGAGGGGGATTGATGTACGCACGATGAGAGGGGGATTGATGTACGCACGATGAGAGGGGGATTGATGTACGCATGATGAGAGGGAGATTGATGTACGCACGATGAGAGGGAGATTGATGTACGCACGATGAGAGGGAGATTGATGTACGCATGATGAGAGGGGGATTGATGTACGCATGATGAGAGGGAGATTGATGTACGCATGATGAGAGGGGGATTGATGTACGCACGATGAGAGGGGGATTGATGTACGCACGATGAGAGGGGGATTGATGTACGCACGATGAGAAGGAGATTGATGTACGCATGATGAGAGGGGGATTGATGTATGAATGATGAGAGGGGGATTGATGTACGCACGATGAGAGGGGGATTGATGTACGCACGATGAGAGGGAGATTGATGTACGCATGATGAGAGGGGGATTGATGTACGCACGATGAGAGGGGGATTGATGTACGCATGATGAGAGGGGGATTGATGTACGCATGATGAGAGGGGGATTGATGTACGCACGCTGAGAGGGAGATTGATGTACGCACGATGAGAGGGAGATTGATGTACGCATGCTATGAGGGAGATTTATGTACGAATGATGAGAGGGGGATTGATGTACGCATGATGAGAGGGAGATTGATGTACGCACGATGAGAGGGAGATTGATGTACGCATGCTAAGAGGGAGATTTATGTACGAATGATGAGAGGGGGATTGATGTACGCACGATGAGAGGGGGATTGATGTACGCATGATGAGAGGGGGATTGATGTACGCACGCTGAGAGGGAGATTGATGTACGTATGCTAAGAGGGAGATTGATGTACGCATACTAAGAGGGAGATTTATGTACGAATGATGAGAGGGGGATTGATGTACGCATGATGAGAGGGGGATTGATGTACGCACGATGAGAGGGGGATTTATGTACGCACGATGAGAGGGGGATTGATGTACGCATGATGAGAGGGGGATTGATGTACGCACGCTGAGAGGGAGATTGATGTACGCATACTAAGAGGGAGATTTATGTACGAATGATGAGAGGGGGATTGATGTACGCATGATGAGAGGGGGATTGATGTTGATTTATGTACGCACGATGAGAGGGGGATTGATGTACGCATGATGAGAGGGGGATTGATGTACGCACGCTGAGAGGGGGATTGATGTACGCACGATGAGAGGGGGATTTATGTACGCACGATGAGAGGGGGATTGATGTACGCATGATGAGAGGGGGATTAATGTACGCACGCTGAGAGGGAGATTGATGTACGTATGCTAAGAGGGAGATTTACGTACGAATGATGAAAGGGGATTGATGTACGCATGCTGAGAGTGGGATTGTTGTACGCACGATGAGAGGGAGATTGATGTACGCATGATGAGAGGGGGATTGATGTACCCACGCTGAGAAAACTTTTGTATGCATGCTAAGAGAGGGGAATCTCTGTACGTATTCTTAGAAGGGAGCATTTGTACTCGTGCAGAGAGAGGGAACCTTTCTACGTATGCTGAGAGGAAAACTTGGTGATGTGTTTGTGACCTCTCACCAAGTCAACACTATGCAAAAACATTATACCTCCTAGGTATACAAATTAACAATTTTGATATGATAATTGAATCGAAATAAAACTACTTATGGAGGAAAATTGTTTGAATTACAATTGCTATGTATAAATTATAATTTAGTGTATTATCATTGTTGCCTTTATACATCTTACAGAAGCCAACTTAACTGTAGCCATAGATTATGAAACATAATTACTTCTTTTTATTATTTTATTTCAAATAACATCATCAAAATTGATTTATGTGCATTTCATTTAATTATTTAATCTGAATATTTTTGTCCGTGTAAAACTGTGTCATGACTTATATTGTATTTGTAACAGTGAGAAAAAGAGCTCTCTTGCAATGTTTGTAATTTAAAATGATTATATTCATTGTATTTGCACAGAATTTTGTATAAGTTAAAATCAATTTACTGCATAATAAACATACTGTAATTCTATATCACCCAGAAATAAGGTAATGCCCTCTTATATTTCTTTCAATTGTTTTAGCATGCACAATCACATGTTATTGACGAGATTCTATTTGTATATCGTTGTCCTAACAAATTAAATAATTTCATTTAAGAACACATTATCTGTTTCATTTTTCACGCTTTGTTGATTTATGCATAAGGAAGACACAATAATGACAACGTATGGAGTCGAACAAATTACGGGATTTGGGAACTTCCCTGACCAGATACATTTACTACATACCTGTTACATTTTGCACAATTCTTTGTTGATAACCGCAATATAGTGTATTTTTGTCTTTTTTCTGGCGAGTCAAGAGCATATTTTTCTCTTTTTTTTCCATGAGAGATCATTGATGTAGTCGAATCATACATTTTAAAAAATACATATATTTATGGTGTTGTGATTCTGGCACTTTCATGCATTTTTAATTTTAAACAAAAAAGTTCCATATTTCAATTTTACAATTATGCTACCGGCATTTTCTGCGCTGAATGCTATAACATATTTTAGAAATTCAACTTCAATGACATCTTTTGGACGTTCAACCTCAATGACATCTTTTAAAATTTCAGCTTCGATGATATATTTTAGAAGCTGAATTTCAATAACGTCTATAAGAAGTTCAGTTTCAATGACCTCTGTAGAAGTTAAGCTCTGATGACATATTTTAGAAGTTCAGTTTCAATGACCTCTGTAGAAGTTAAGCTCTGATGACATATTTTAGAAGTTCAGTTTCAGTCCTAGAAGGATAAAAAAAACATTGTTTATCTCTAGTGTTTCTATACTTATCTGGGAATGTTGATTCTGAACTCATGTAAATTCATTAATTTTTTTATTCACGTTTCTGTTTTGTAACTTTGTATTAATTGCGTGAGACACTATAGGATATCCCGAATTGTGACATTATTTTTAAAAGTCTTCTTGTTGATACAATCAATTTTCGACAATGGGTAACAGCCAAACATTTACATACTGACGTACTGACAATATATAAAATTTGCAAAGAAAGTGTTGGTTATCATCTCATAACTGTCAATTGAAGGCCTATTATATCAAGGACTGTACAAAAGACGCAGAAGTGAAAAACATATTTAATGGAAATCAAAGTAGAGCTAAACAATGAATTGATAAAATCAAACGTGATCGAAGGAAAAGCCTTAGTCTAGACGGGGAGGTGCAATAGCTCAATGATTAAATAAATATCATAATCTTTGTATATCCGACTAAAAGTCAACCAGTATTGTCTACCACCTGCATCCCAGAAGACTGTACTAAAGACACACAAGTGAATAGCACCTTTAACAGAAGTCTTGTTTGACAAGTAGAGCCATATACTAAGTTAAACTGTAACATACAGCTGTTCCGTCCTTCTGGGTCTAGTCAGTGAAGCTAAGGGCCTAAATTTTGAAGCCAAGGAAGCGACAGGAAAATCCAAAGTGATAAAAAATTTGGACGACGATGTACACTAGCCCCTACGTATACCGAATGAACAAATACATTAAAATAAATTCGAACACCCACATCCTGTATAAGTTGTTTTCCTAATTTAGCATGCTTATCACAACTATGGATAGAGTGATTCAATTTTCATTAGTATATCTATATCCTAAGTCAACAACATTGTCTGTGTAGGTGGCTCACGACGGTCTTGCCGCTAGCTAATCAAACGAAGGTTGTTCCGACTCAAAGTGTTAATTGCAGTATATCAGTCGATGGTCAGAGGTTAATATGATCCCGCGGCTAGTTATAAAATTCTCCAAGGTTTCATCGCAACTCAACCTTGATAAAACCACGTTCCTGAAATGGTAGAATCAATCACTTAAAGACTGGATCTGTACAAAGTGGATCAAGGATTCGTACAACGTGAAAACTTATGGCTAAATTAGGAACATTTTCTGAATCGTACCAACAGAAGAAAGGAAGTGAACTTGTCTCAAGGAATCAATTTTTTGATGGTTTACGGAATATTTTCTGAAGTCTTTAAACAGCGATGGAACATAAAACTTTAATTCTGAGGCTTGTTAAGGTGGGCATGTACATGGTCATACTTGCGCAGAACACCAGACACGTACAAGGTATGTTACAACAGATTTGTCGAGTCCTGTATAGCATCCACATGTCATTTCTATAATTGCTACTGTCATTTTGTATGTAAGGTGGTTGGGGTTGGAGGGGGTACTTTTGTCATTTTATAAGTAAGGGGGAGCGAGAGGGATAAGGGGGTATCATTCAAGACACATTTATGACGGCAGTGAAGTAAAACGTTGTTAACCATGTGTCATTTGATTTATAAATTTTATTTATCAACTTGCTACTAACATTATCTTATATATATATGTGCCTTTTTATTCTAATAAAATCACATTAAAATATAATGATATTAAACAAAATTAGTTTTTTTATTTTGATCTTGAATGCAGCTTTAATTTGACATTTCGGCGATACACGTGATTAGTGTGCCATTTTATCAAAACTGTTTAGCTGCCACGACTTCGTATCAATTAAGTGGAATACACCTAAATGACCCGCAGACTTAGCAGATCTGTAGGTTACATTTAAGTTGTTACAGAAAGGCGCGGAGTAATCGTAATTACCTTACCTTTGTCCAACAATTACAGCAGGTAACTTCACCTATGGCAAAAGTCAAACATCGCACATTCAATTATCACTAGATTTCAATGCTGTTATCGTTTCAATGCTCGTAGAGGTATTGCTGTCAATTATTGGCATTCGTTTAAAGGTCGTAGTGCAAATGTTTCTATCATAAGATTGAAAGATTGCCTTGATTCTAATTGATATGATTTATATGATACAAAATGGAACCTTTTAGGAAAGGTTGTCATTTCTATACGGTTAAATAACATTTAATAGGTATTACATTGCGAGTTTCGATGAAGCAGAAGACGCTTACTCTTCCGGAACACCTGGTCATTTTTCAAGAGCTTCCTTGTAAATCTTTCTTTGGTTCATGTTTCGTCCTAGTTTTATGGAATTTGAGTTTAGATTATGATGATGTTGCTATTTTGGTATTTTCTTGATGTTATTTGCATATGGCAAATTGGTGAAGATTTTTTTACAAATTTGTTTGATGTTTCGTTGCTGTAACCAGTTTAAGATGTTTCAATGCTGTACCCGTTACAGGACTGACATGTATGGAGTGTACCAATATTGACCTTGATGGGACTTCAGCTGGGATCTTTGTGAATCCATTTCTAAACATCATCCCTGGCATCAGAAATGAAAACTGTAAGGCACCCACCTCCCAGACAGACATTGACCTAATCACGTGTCCAGAAAACCCAGAAACTGGGCATCATGTGTATAGATGTGGGGCCTACAAGGGGAAAATCAACATTGCCATTGCGGGAGGCATATCAAGTATGTAAAACAACCTGAGCTAAGAATGTATCATTGAATCTAAATTTGCATAGAATAAGGAATGTCTCGAAAACCCTAACAGCTTATCGAGTATCAACCCTTATAAACCCAAACGCATACCAGCAGTATATATATATATATATATATATATATATCTCTCTCTCTCTCTCTCTCTCTCTCTCTCTCTCTCTCTCTCTCTCTCTCTCTCTCTCTCTCTCTCTCCACTTAAGATATAATTTGATATAAATTGCATTTTTATATTTTGTTCCAAACTGGATACATACCGACTTTCTTCCACTGTTCGAGAAGTCTATTTGTATTAGATGAAAACACAGTACCTGTCATGATCAACTATTTCTCGAGGTTATATCAAACTTGTCTATATAGACCAATCTGAGTTATATAACCTTGACATTCATACTCAGGGGCCCAAGATCATACATTATATCGACAGGATGCAATAAACGAATTAAAGACACAACTTTTTGTAATCAAGCATTTTCATATAGATAAACTTTTGTACATAAAAAAAAATTCATTCATAAATACCATAAAATAAAGACACGTTTAACGTGTGCTCACAAGAAACCCTAACAGTGTTCAAAACCTCAGTATACCGTACTGCACACGGCACGACCGCATTTATAGAAGCGATTAGAGTGGGCACAAGCGGATCACTCTTTTAGGGAGCTTTGTTCATGTGACAACCCATGCTTGACAGGAAAATCACACTCGGCTTCTTTCTGAAGACGTGTTTAATACGCTCTTGTATTCTGTATATATACAACAGGACAAATCTTAATCGCGGTGTTTCAAGTCTATTCATTTCAAATCTATTCATTTCAAATGCACTCATTTCAGAATTCCAATGAAATAAGACATTGAACTAATGTCGGGCGTTGCATTTTGTAAATTGTGGTAATGAATTTCGGTCTTCACCTCTGTTTAACTGATTTTATTTCATTATTTTTACATGCTATCATTTGGTATCACGGGATAGGTAACGTATATAGAACGTATGTGAAAGAAACTCGCAACACCAGAGCATACTATCTTCAAAATCTCACCATATTTCAGTTTTGTTGAGAAAATATTGCTACGTAGTTGGTTATTTTAAACATGAATACCTCCTAACAGGTTGATTTTATTCGTTGCATTGAATTTTAAGTGAAACAGCACCATGTATGCAAATGACTCTAAAACTACATAGTCGACGTCATGACACCAATATAACAAATGCACCAAAGGGAGGATGGTGGGCGTGTCTTTGCTTTTAAAAAGGGGGCCTTTAAACGTTGCTATGTCCAAATTTGACAACATATTTAAATGAGTAATTTAAATATGCAAATTAGTTTTTCCTGATATTTTCGATTTGCGCTTGATCAAGATCTACTTATTATGTAAATAATCAACACGGACCAGATTAATTCGATTTTAATTTGCTGGTGATTGGAATATCGGGAAAAGCGGACTTACCTATTACCTTTTCACTTTTTTCAAGGTTTTATCATCGCAACGCAGTAAAATGTTACAATGAACTTGTTTATTTTTCATTGACTGATATATGCCTAACCAGTAATCATTGTTTGATTCCAAGATGAGCTTTTGTAACGATTATACATTATTCATAGAAAATGTGAAACGAATACTGCAGGCGTCATATTACAGTGTAAAACACGTTATCTGTCTTACAACATTTAACGTACACTTACAGAATAAAATCGCGAATAGATCATTTGTTTCCTCAATAAAACAGGCTGTCCTTCTCTCAATACATTTAAATCAATTATCAGTAAGACAGAAATAATACATGACAAATGCTTTTAGGTATGAGATTTACGTAATTTAAACATACTTCATTTCCGTTTGAGAAATCCTGCCAGATCTCTTGATTACGATTTTTTTAGAACAAATGGTAATACAGCTGAATGTAGATGCAGCAACCCATGTGAAGACTTTTATTATTATTTTTAGGTTTGTCCCCCTATACATTTATAATCGAAATCTATTAATAAGACAGTTACAACCTCTATTTGAGAATTTAATTAGATTTACTCATATACGGCGATCAGAAATTAAGCAAAGATGATGGTATCTCTTAATTGCAAAAAATGTAAAATAGGGATTTGATTGAATGTGACATGTGACTCTCTCTCTCTCTCTCTCTCTCTCTCTCTCTTATCATAAAGCATTACTAGATATAGCAGAGAAAGCTCGCATTAACTCTGCTTCTCTGTAAAAAAGCAACTTTTTAGAGTAAACATTAAAACACATTCAATATCAGATATTTTATTTTTCTAAACATTTGTTAAGAAAGTATTCGGAGTGCCATGGAGTACATGAAAATGGTTTGACATTTAAGAAAACATCGAATGTTTGTTACACAGGGAATCTGTTCAATAACTATTCTGTAATCTTTGACTTTGCCCAGCTAACTAAACATATAAGGAAAAATATATAACGATTATTTACCAAGGGCTTTTGTCTAGCTAGTTATACATGTCAGGAAAACTAAATGAGGACTTTTTTCGATGACTCTTTCCTAGATAGTAAATATTAATTTGATAATTAATTACCGATGGTTCTTGCCTAGTAAGCTAAACATGTTGGGGAAATTCACTAATAACACTTTATCGATGGCTCTATTTACAACAAAGCATTCTTGATACTTAATATTAATACTTAATATTATGATGCATAACCACTTTTGATAAAATGTATAGTATGGGTCACTACCGGAGTGCCATGGTGTAATTCTTGTTGGTTTTAGGTCTGTTAAAGTTTACATCTTATGTTTACTTATAGTTTGTACGGTATAAACAAGTGATTTTGTCAGTGGCATTGTCATCTGCTCTCAAAAACCCTTAAGACGCTTGAGGCACATGGTTCATTTTTAGATCACGTGGAAGTGTTATCTTATACATAAACACGGGAGTATTTACTTTGGCTGTCCCAATTATAAGTAAAGGATTTTATTTCATTGTAAAAAAAACATTCCGTCTTATTTTAGATATGTGACTTCAATGCCATCTCATTTCAGATAGCTCTCTAAATATAATAGATCGTCAGTGTGTATTGATCTACCAAGGCTTGGATAGAGGTTGTCACCCGCAGTCCTTTGTCGAAGAAGATGCGTCCGATTTTCAGAAAATATTTGCAAGTCTTGAAAATCTAGGAGCTGTGGAGTTCGAAGGAGATATCTGTTTGGCTGAAGATAACGATGCTACTCCAGCCCCTAACTGTAGCAGCAATATGATAGTTCAGTCCCTAGTCTTTATCCTCACCACTTGTTTTATATGTATATTTTTGTCATAATTGAAGTTGAAAGTGTGAACAAGTAAGCTATATAAGTGAAAATATTTGCCGTATTTTAAATGCAACGAGTATAAAGCGAGTTTATTATAGAAGAGAGAAAGGTGTATTTTTACTAAATATTATTTGTCTATATTTTGCAAACGCTGGATATTACCAAACTTATTTACATGGATGGCACACTGGTAACACTCACCTTTCACCAATGTGGGCGGGGTTTGAGTCACCAATCGGACGTGAACAGGGATGGGGTCACGCCTCACGACTGACCACGTGGGGTTTTCTCTAGTACTCCGGACTCTTACCATCCTCCCCATTCTTCCATCCGAGACAACAAAGTGACGAACATAAGTTGTGTCACTTGCTTCATAACTGTTGTAAAATAAACGAAGTTTATATTTTTTCACTTTCTTCAATTTCAAGACGGACTGCTAATAAAGCCCAAAACAAAATTGTATAGTAAATGCCGATTAAACTGTAAATTAAATATAGTGCTAAAGGACAAGGCATCGGCTTGAAAGTCAAACCGCAACATATTTTAAATGACAGTACGTTCGAAAGTGTCAGCAGAAAAGTTTAAAATCGACCACATAGCCAACAAATGTTAACAAAATCCTATACTATCATTACAAATAATGTAAAACCTCCTTCAAAAAATGAATAAAACAAAAAACAAACAAAATGGCAAGATCAGGCAGATGTCAAAGATTGCACAAAAGACACACAAGTAAATAACACCTTTTAATAAAGATTTAGACTTAAATACAGCAGATCCATCGTCTTTCCAGGACACGTCAGTGATGTTAATGGTCTAATATTGATACTTAGGAAGTAACTGGTAAACCTGAAATTGGTCGCAAAAAAAGTCAAAATCGAGAAAAAATATTTACAAGGTACTTCGCTAGATTAGGGAATTTATGTCCTCGTAACAAAAGAAGATATATGAGGATTGTTTAATGAAGATATTATCAACTTCCTCCATTTAAATATTTAAATAATTTCGTCATGTGTTTGTAATGAAGTTAATACCTTAAGTTTTACTTTAAGTCCGCATTCCTGAAATGAAGTTCTACTGCCTTTTGGAATGTTTAAAGCGACCAACTTTGAGTCGGGGATACGTCAATGACTAAAATACAGAGACGAATAACACATCTGTACCTAATCACCTAGGACACCCATCACATACTAGTATACATCTATATATAATCACCTAGGACACCTACCACACATACATCTATACATAATCACCTAGGACACCTACCAAACATACATCTATATATAGTCACCTAGGACACCTACCACACATACATCAATACATAATCACCTAGGACACCTACCACACATACATCTATACATAGTCACCTAGTACACTTACCACACATACATACATAAATAATCACCTAGGACACCTACCACACATACAGTATACATAATCACCTGGGACACCTACCACACATACATCTATACATAATCACCTGGGACACCTACCACACATACATCTATACATAATCACCTAGGACACCTACCACACATACATCTATACATAATCACCTAGGACACCTACCACACATACATCTATACATAATCACCTAGGACACCTACCACACATACATCTATACATAATCACCTAGGACACCTACCACACATACAGTATAATCACCTAGGACACCTACCACACCACACATACATACCACACTATACATAATCACCTAGGACACCTACCACACACACATATATAATCACCTAGGACACCTACCACACATACATCTATACATAATTACCTAGGACACCTACCACACATACATAAACTCACATAGGACACCTACCACACATACATCTAAACATAGTCATATAGGACATCTACCACACATACATCAATACATAATCACCTAGGACACTTACCACACATACATCTATATATAATCACCTAGGACACCTACACACATCTATACATAATCACCTAGGACACCTACCACACATACATCTATACATAATCACCTAGGACACCTACCACACATACATCTATACATAATCACCTAGGACACTTACAACACATACATCTATATATAATAATCACCTAGGACACCTACCACACATATCTATACATAATTACCTAAGACACCTACCACACATACATCTATACATAATCACCTAGGACACCTATCACACATACAGTATACATAATCACCTAGGACACCTACCACACATACATCTATACATAATCACCTAGGACACCTACCACACATACATCTATACATAATCACCTAGGACACCTATCACACATACATCTATACATAATCACCTAGGACACCTACAACACATACAACACATACATCTATATATAATCACCTAGGACACCTACCACACATACATCTATACATAATCACCTAGGACACCTACCACACATACATCTATACATAATCACCTAGGACACCTACCACACATACAGTATACATAATCACCTAGGACACCTACCACACATACATCTATATATAATCACCTAGGACACCTACCACACATACATCTATACATAATCACCTAGGACACCTACCACACATACATCTATACATAATCACCTAGGACACCTACCACACATACATCTATATAATCATACATACCACACATAGGACACCTAGGACACTACCACACATACATCTATATATAATCACCTAGGACACCTACCACACATACCTATACATAATCACACATACATACTATACATCTAGGACACCTACCACACATACATCTATATACATAATCACCTAGGACACCTACCACACATGCATCTATACATAATCACCTAGGACACCTACCACACACACACCTACCACACATACATATACATAATCACCTAGGACACCTACATACACATACATCTATACACCACACATACATCTATACATAATCACCTAGGACACCTACCACACATACATTTATATATAATCACCTAGGACATCTACCACACATACATCTATACATAATCACCTAGGACACCTACCACACATACATCTATACATAATCACCTAGGACACCTACCACACATACATCTATACATAATCACCTAGGACACCTACCACACATACAGTATACATAATCACCTGGGACACCTACCACACATACATCTATACATAATCACCTAGGACACCTACCACACATACATCTATACATAATCACCTGGGATACCTACCACACATACAACTATACATAATCACCTGGGACACCTACCACACATATATCTATACATAATCACCTAGGACACCTACCACACATACATCTATACATATCACCTCACATACATAATCACCTAGGACACCTACCACACATACTATACATAATCACCTAGGACACCTACCACACCTATACATAATCACCTAGGACACCTACCACACATACATCTATATATAATCACCTAGGACACCTACCACACATACATCTATACATAATCACCTAGGACACCTACCACACACACATATATATACATAATCACCTAGGACACCTAACACCTACCACACATACATCTATACATAATCACCTAGGACACCTACCACACATACATCTATACATAGTCACCTGGGACACCTACCACACATACATCTATACATAATCACCTAGGACACCTACCACACATACATCTATACATAATCACCTAGGACACCTACCACACATACATCTATATATAATCACCTAGGACATCTACCACACATACATCTATACATAATCACCTAGGACACCTACCACACATACATCTATATATAGTAACCTAGGATACCTATCACACATACATCTATACATAATCACCTAGGACACCTACAACACATACATCTATATATAATCACCTAGGACACCTACCACACATACATCTATACATAATCACCTAGGACACCTACCACACATACATCTATATATAATCACCTAGGACATCTACCACACATACATCTATACATAATCACCTAGGACACCTACCACACATACCACACATACATCTATACATAATCACCTAGGACACCTACAACACATACATCTATATATAATCACCTAGGACACCTACCCGCATACATCTATACATAATTACCTAGGACACCTATCACACATACAGTATACATAATATTCTAGGACACCTACCACGCATACAGTATACATAATTATCTATGACACCCACCACACATATATCTATACATAATCACCTAGGACACTTACCACACATACATCTATACATAATCACCTGGGACACCTACCCGCATACATCTATACATAATTACCTAGGACACCTACCACACATACATCTATACATAATCATACATAATCACTATACATAATCATAGGACACCTACCACACATACATCTATATATAATCACCTAGGACACCTACCACACATACATCTATACATAATCACCTAGGACACCTACCACACATACATCTATACATAATCACCTAGGACACCTACCACACATACATCTATACATAATCACCTAGGACACCTACCACACATACATCTATATATAATCACCTAGGACACCTACCACACATACATCTATACATAATCACCTAGGACACCTATCACACATACATCTATATATAATCACCTAGGACACCTACCCGCATACATCTATACATAATTACCTAGGACACCTATCACACATACAGTATACATAATATTCTAGGACACCTACCACGCATACAGTATACATAATTATCTATGACACCTACCACACATACATCTATACATAATCACCTAGGACACCTATCACACATACATCTATACATAATCACCTAGGACACCTACCACACATACATCTATACATAATTACCTAGGACACCTACCACACATTCATCTATGCATAATCACCTAGGACACCTACAACACATACAGTATACATAATCACCTGGGACACCTACCAAAAATACATCTATACATAATCACCTAGGACACCTACAACACATACATCTATATATAATCACCTAGGACACCTACCCGCATACATCTATACATAATTACCTAGGACACCTATCACACATACAGTATACATAATCACCTAGGACACCTACCACACATACATCTATACATAATCACCTGGGACACCTACCCGCATACATCTATACATAATTACCTAGGACACCTACCACACATACATCTATACATAATCACCTAGGACACCTACCACACATACATCTATACATAATCACCTAGGACACCTACCACACATACAGTATACATAGTCACCTAGGACACCTACCACACATACATCTATACATAATCACCTAGGACACCTACCACACATACATCTATATATAATCACCTAGGACACCTACCACACATACATCTATACATAATCACCTAGGACACCTACCACACATACAGTATACATAATCACCTAGGACACCTACCACACATACAGTATACATAATCACCTAGGACACCTACCACACATACATCTATACATAATCACCTAGGACACCTACCACACATACAGTATACATAATAACCTAGGACACCTACCACACATACAGTATACATAATCACCTAGGTATACATAATCACCTAGGACACCTACCACACATACAGGTACCACACATACTATACATAATCACCTAGGACACCTACCACACATTCATCTATACATAATCACCTAGGACACCTACCACACATACATCTATACATAATCACCTAGGACACCTACCACACATACATCTATACATAATCACCTAGGACACCTACCACACATACATCTATACATAATCACCTAGGACACCTACCACACATACATCTATACATAATCACCTAGGACACCTACCACACATACATATATACATAATCACCTAGGACACCTACCACACATACATCTATACATAATCATCTAGGACACCTATCACACATACATCTATACATAATCACCTAGGACACCTACCACACATACAGTATACACAATCAACTAGGACACCTACTACACATACAGTATACAGAATCACCTAGGACACCTACCACACATACATCTATATATAATCACCTAGGACACCTACCACACATACAGTATACATAATCACCTAGGACACCTACCACACATACAGTATACATAATCACCTAGGACACCTACCACACATACATCTATACATAATCACCTAGGACACCTACCACACATACATCTATACATAATCACCTAGGACACCTACCACACATACATCTATACATAATCACCTAGGACACCTACCACACATACATCTATACATAATCACCTAGGACACCTACCACACATACATCTATACATAATCACCTAGGACACCTACCACACATACATCTATATATAATCACCTAGGACACCTACCACACATACAGTATACATAATCACCTAGGACACCTACCACACATACATCTATACATAATCACCTGGGACACCTACCACACATACATCTATACATAATCACTAGGACACCTACCACACATACATCTACCACACATATATCTATACATAATCACCTAGGACACCTACCACACATACATCTATACATAGTCACCTAGGACACTTACCACACATACAGTATATATAATAACCTAGGACACCTACCACACATACAGTATACATAATCACCTAGGACACCTACCACACATACAGTATACGTTTTACTTACACAAAGCAAATAACAATACATCTACAGTGGACTAATTAGGTTAACATCTTATTAGGGTCGCATCATTAATTAAGTTTATGTAAATAGAATCACCGTAAAACATCATGTTATTAGTGACATAGCAGGGAACACATCTATATAAATAGAATTATACAATCGGTTTACAGAATTCGTGACCGTATGATAGATTTGAATATATAGCCCTCATAACAGACAAGGTGACTGAAGTTTTTTTTTATAACGATACATTGTACATGTATGTACTTCTACCATACGTCGCACACGTGCATGTACACTCTCTTAATACACATCGCGTATCAATGAATGACTACTATTAGATTAGAGTTACTGTCAGAATGTACACAACAACTTGACGGTTGACATGTTTCTGTATTTGACATCACAGATGTAAGTAATGATGAAACATTGACATCAGACATTGCCTCTAAGATACTGTAGATATAGATAGGTAAAAATGTAATAAGATATGATACATACTAAGTTGTAAGTTATAATAGTATGTCTGTTATTTCAGGCTAAAAACATAAAAGTAGGTTACCTGAATGTATGTTCAAAATGTTGCTCAGATTACACACCACAAGCACGTGTTGGAATCACGTGCATACCAAGATACTGACCCGACGTGCCAACCTCTTATGCGAATTGGTTACCCCTGTACGAGATTACAAACATATAGAGAAGAAAGACATGGAGTGACCATCTAATAATGAGAGACTAACGATGTTTCAGAACATGGAAAGTGAATTTGACAAACCCAGGAATATGTAATCCACCAGCATATTACAGGCTTTGTTTAACAAGGCAGGCCCCTCGGCTTAAATTACATGTACATGTACGAATGATGTGGCAATCATATACAGTAGAAGACTTTTAAGAATATAATGCAGGACACTTTACAAGCAACGGTCATAGATACACAAAACAACAGAAATAAACACTTTGTCATAACCAAATAATCTTAATGAGGAATCGGCGATGTTTTTAAATGTTTCCAACTAACGCACGATGCATACCAAACATATGTGACTACCTGATACCTCAAATATCAGGCAATATATCATCTACAAGCTGACCACTCAAATGACTCGGCAACTGAAACAGTCCTTTCCTAATGTTGACTGGAAAATGTTATACCGTAAATGTATTTTCCATAGAGCCGAATCGACTTTTTTCACATATTTATTTGTAAGTACACATAGACGTAAATACTTTAATGTGTAAACTAAACAATATCAATTGTCGTGAAAATAACTATATATCTATACTTGTTCATATTGTCCAAAGTATCCTCAATATTGATATAAATTAATAAAGATGTTTATAACCAGATCTAAGAGGGATCTTGTCGTCCATCATCGTACGATTTCTATTGTCCTTTGTGAATTGGATAACTCCTCTTTCTTTTCTCTTTTCACTTATTTTCTCAAACCTTTGACAAAGTTCAACTTTACAAAATCCAATATGGCCGTGTTTCGGCCATTTTGGTTTACTGGTCAAACTTTAATTTTATAATCTATTATCCATAAGAAGCAAGTGAAACATACAAAAAAAAATGAAAATTGAGATCAATGCAACTAGTTCTCCTCAGGAAACATTCACATCAATATTTTTTTTAAAGAGGGGCGACGGACGGACCACAAACTAATGGCGATTTTTTAATAGCCCAGAATCTGATGAAAGTGGGGTAAAACTGAAATTAGCATGATGTAGACTTCGTTAATGTTATCATTGCAAATAACATACTTACATAGCATTTTTTCACATCCATTATTTGGGTTTAAAAACATTACCGTGGATGTTTATCTAGATCTCTAAACTGTACTGTAGTGCCTCTAAATGCCAAACTTAAATATCTGGTAAATACCAGCTGTAACGTAACCTCAACTGTTGTATCACGCATTAACCATGTTTGTTTTGACTTTTTTGTTTGTTTGTTTTCTGGGGTGTGGGTAAAGGGGTTGACTGGTTTGATATTTTAAGTATGTTACGCTGAACTTTGTAGTATATTGGTTTAAATACCGAGTAAATTGAAAACAAAAAATAATAACTGAGGTTCTATATGGGGACTGAGGATGTTGGGGATATCTACATCTTTATATATTTTATCTCATTCCTTGATCAGATATATTTCGGTACTTGTTTAAAAAGTCAACAACGTGATTATGTGATCAAACGCAATGTTCAATGTTGCGCGTGCCCGTGCATCTACCAGATGTACGGATGTAACCTGTCAATAGCTGAAAAGCATGGTCAGCTTACACTCAATACGTATGTAGTATATTCAATCCACTCTCCGGACAGATTTTACAACGCAATATCATCTGGCTCTCACACCTTCTGTAAAATGTATACTATAACGCTGTCTTACTTCCGCTTTATATTTTTACTGAATTAGGTGAGCCGATTGTGTTTTTCCCCTTTGTACAGAATGCGAACAGTTCTCACATCTATGAGTAGGCCAATACATGTAAATTGCGAGAAATCAAACGGTCAACCAATGAAAATAAAGCACAACTGGTCTATAAGCCAATGAAATTTGACGGAAAGTGTTCAGGGTCACAATAGTTTTGACTGACCTATAGGTCTACCTGGTTATACGAGGGTTCAAAAAGTGCTGAATCTTCGAACTGTCAAGATGGTTATGGTCAAAGTGCGAGACGAAACACATCACGATCTACACCACACCCCTGTGCGAGGACATCATACCCACCATCGTCATGGACACCATGTACATCATCACCATGGGCACCATGTCCATCATCACCTCGGACACAACAGCCCTGTCCATACGCTGAAGTCATTATTTGGAAAGTACCGACATCTTCGGTGTTCATCGCCCAAATGCAGTAATTCGACGCCAAAAACCAAAAGATTGTCGGACTCCAAGAGAAGTTGTCTCGGCAATGAAATCAGAAAACCTTTTCTGATACATAAAAAAATCGATGATGCCAATGATGAAGTGTTTATCAAGGAGGATTTTCAACTTGGTAAACTCCTCGGAGCCGGGGGTTTTGGTTCTGTATATATGGCAAATGGTAAACGTGGACATGGCTCCATGGCGATTAAAGTGTTAAAGAAACCCAACATGAGCAAAAATCCTGATGCCATGTTTGAAAGTTTCAAAGCCGAGCTACGATGTATGCAGCTTACCCATCCCAATATTGTCCAATCATTGGGAGCCACTCATGTGACGTCATTTGATGAGGGAGCATGGGTCGTTATGGAGTATGCTGGAGATAGAACCCTGCAAACTGTTCTCAACGAACCTCACGTCGATATGACGATCGATATTAGACTCAAGTTTTCTTCTCAGATTGCACAAGGTCTAAAATATCTCCATGATAACAACATTGTACATTTGGATATTAAACCCGCCAACATCCTCATCACTCCTGACGGTGACTGTAAAATCGGTGATCTTGGATGTTCCCAAATCTTAGAGGCTGGAACTGGAAAAGTTAGTCCTACCCAAAGATCGTCCCTCACCGGGACATTTGCATATCGCGCACCAGAACTACTTCGAGGTGAAGCGCCTACCAGGAAAGCCGACATTTACTCGTTCGCAGTTACTATGTGGCAAATGTTATCACGAGAAAATCCGTATGGCAACGAGAACCAGCACGTGGTCATATTCGGAGTTGTAGCTTATGGACATCGACCTAAACACCCAAATATGAATGAGCAGTGCCCGTTTGAACTTTGCTACCGTGACCTCTATTCGCAATGTTGGAATTCGGTCCCAGAAAACCGGCCGTCTGCTGATGAGTTGGTGGAAGTGCTAGGTATCTGGAAGAAAAACTTATAGTCATTTTTGAAATACTGCACACGTGTGTAAATAGTGGTGTAGTTATGTATATTGATTTACCTTAATCACGAGTGTTCAATGAAAACGATATAAAAAAAACACGATTGACTTATCTAGATAAGGTCGCGTTGAACACGAACAAACTTCAGTATATGTACAGATAGTGTAAAGTATATACACTTTATATATTTTATGGTGGTCTTATTGATCCAGGGTTTTTTCCCTGCTTGTATATTGATGTATCATATGTAAATTTGAAAATCGAAAGATTGTATAGTTTTTTATCTGTTGATTTTCAGAACTGTTTATTTTTCTTTACAATTGTTATATCTACACATTTACAACTGTTTGTCTTGTGTCTGTCACATGTTATCATGTAAATAAGAACCGATAACTAATTATTTACACGATGCCTATTGGCTAATTTATAAATATTTGTTTAAATATCAAGGCACTATATTATTTGTACAACTGTACTTTGTCGTGTGTGTGTGTTTAAATGTTTGTCTATTATCCTCCTGTTTATATGATTTTCATATTTATACAATATCTGTCTTATGTCGTACTTCAACATTGTCTACCGTTATACACAAAGCTTGTTTTACATACCAGTTCTACAACGTCTTTTGACATATTGAACTTATACAATGCCCGTGTTGTTTCATATCTATATATTAATGGACTTTGTCATATTTATACCATTTCCATTTTTGTAATGTTCATGCATTGTCTGGTGTCATGGTACAATGACGGTCTCTGTGATATACAACGTTTGTCTTTTTATGTTTATACAGTGTTTGTCATGTTTATACATCTTCCGTCTTGTGTAAAAGATGTATTTTAAACTGTAAAATGTATACAGTGTTTGTCATGTTTATAGATCTTCCGTCTTGTGTAAAAGATATTTTTAACTGTAAAACGTAAAATATGTATACAGTGTTTGTCATGTTTATACATCTTCCGTCTTGTGTAAAAGATGTATTTTTAACTGTAAAATGTCTGTCTTCCCTCGTAAAATATGTATACAGTGTTTGTCATGTTTATAGATCTTCCGTCTTGTGTAAAAGATGTATTTTTAACTGTAAAATGTCTGTCTTCCCTCGTAAAATATGTATACAGTGTTTGTCATGTTTATAGATCTTCCGTCTTGTGTAAAAGATGTATTTTTAACTGCAAACTGTCCGTCTTCCCTCGTAAAATATTTATACAACGTTTGTCATGTTTATACATCTTCCGTTATGTGTAAAAGATGTATTTTAAACTGTAAAATGTCTGTCTTCCCTCGTAAAATATTTATACAACGTTTGTCATGTTTATACATCTTCCGTCTTGTGTAAAAGATGTATTTTAAACTGTAAAATGTCTGTCTTCCCTCGTATTTATACAATGTCTTGTGTCATATTTATACAATATTTGTCTTTTTCAGTGCTTTGCCATGTTTAAACAATTTCTGTTTCGTCATATTATGTTTATTTTGCATGCCAATCTATACATTTACTTGTCCAACATCCTGTTTACACTGTACCTGTATTACGATATATATATTCCACATCTTATCAGTGTGGTACTCTTCCGACGTCCGAACGTCCAACACTGGTAGTTTTATAAAGTATATCATCATTCCAGTATTTTCAATATTCTGTGAAAGAATTATTCATCCATATGATTAATCCTTATAAAATATTAAATATACGTGTTTACCTATTTTTTGCCTTTTTAATCTGATATTCAAAGCAAAAAAAATATATTTTTGTGGGTTTTTTTTTAGTTACGTTTTTTTCATGTTCAGAACAGACCGGTAAATGAGTTTCAATGTACAGTTAACTGGACTTCACGACAAGACCTTATTTTAACATTGTGTTGATTATAGCAACATGCATTGTCTCGCATGACTTTTAAACATTTAATTTCTGTATGAATGTTATTTGGCATGATATACATATGTTGCCCAAGTTTTGGCTTTAGAATATTACAAATGAAAATAGATAAAAAAAATGTTGACCGTTTTAAGCAATTTGTATGAAAATTAATATACTTTCATAAAGAAATCTTACTTTATTTTTCAATTTCTGTATCTCTAAGTTATCAGCGTTAAACGCATCCCGTTGTGAGTGTTAATAACTACTAATCTGAACTTTGACCTTTTTGGTAATTTTAACCGTTATTCGTTATTTAGGTTTCTGGTCTGTGTAACTCATTCTCTCCGTGAACGTTTGAAAAATACGAAGTCATGTGTACATTCAGGAATAAGTATGGTGTAACACCTGGATTTAAGGATGGACGGTAAATTATTGTTTAACTTATTAACATTGTGAATTATCGAATAATGGAATAAAATATATAGAAAATTAAAGTAGTTTTCAGCCTTCGCACGTGTTCTGTTTTGTACTATTTGCTATACTTGTACCTGATATGAAAATATAAATTAAACAAACCATGCCCGTTTGATATGTTTGGCCAAGAAGAGAAGCTGCATTCCTTATTTAGGCTACGAAGGAAAATATTTTGTCAGCGGTTTGAGTCGGATATAGGGATGGTGCTATACATTTGAAATCACCAGAGGCGGATCCAGGGGTTTAACGGATCAGTAATGAGCAAACCTTCATATATACTAATTTCAACATTAACGACCAACGTTCACCAGGAACACAATCAACTAATTTTTTATCTTAGTTTTTAAATAGAGTTGAACTTGGTTTTACTGAGGTTACAGTGATGCTGACAAGGACATTATTCCTTTTATATGGTCAGAAATTTAAACAGTACATGCTGTGTTACTACATTTTTTTCATTTACTTTAAATTTTTAATTATTTATTTTCAAACATTTGCTCAGTGTCCCTGCTTAGTGTCATTCAAAAGTTGCTTTAGAAAGTTTACAAGCATCGAAGTAATATTTGTCGGAATAAACCACGGACTTGACATATAACTACGGCCGTGGAATGATTAACCAAAATTGGCACGATTTACTTCATAAAAAAAACAACAAAAAACAAAAACAAAACTGAATCCCTGTGCCTCTGGGACCGTGCCTCTACTAAAATGAGCTTTTGTTTATGATATACACGACGCACGACTGTATTTGTTCAATCAAGTGTCCACATGTTGGGAAATGATGAATAACGAAAAAATATATATTTTACGTCAGCCTGCAGATTTTAATGAGTTATCCCCCTTCACACAGCAATACGGCATCTTGAGTTTTTATATATTTACATATCTTTATTCGAACGCGCTCAAAGGTAAGACAGTTGGGTCGATAAGAAGCTTTAATCAAACAACGAAAAGGGTTGATGTTTTCAAGACACGTGTTAACGTTGAGTAGTAAAAAATGAGCGACTCAAAGAGCAGGGAAAATGGTAAATAAATCAGTAATGACCCGTGTGACATCTTACGTCCTAGTGTAACACTTAGCTGGACATAAGAAACAGTTCAGTGCGACAAACTGAAATAGAATACAGAAAAAATGTAAAGGCTTTGTTTTACAGAACACCAGATGATTTTATCAGAAAAGCCATCATAAAATCGATGTTTCCGTGAAATTCGTAGTAAATCGTAATTTTATACTTTAAAAGGTAAAATATTTCAATGCGTGAAAGCAAAATATATTTTTTATTTATTTTATTCCATTTAGTTTATTTTCATTAGTTAGTGCGGATTTTGCTTGATCATATTTTAATCTTTGAAGCAATGAAATTAAAATATCATCTTTTACATGTACTTGCGCTTATGGAAGTAGCACATTAAGCAGCTACAGATTAATATATCAGTAGCATTTGAATAACTAAAATTATTTCTCAGTTTCCTTTTGTATTTTCTACCCTGTTTCAACTACAATGTACGAATGATTCATAGAATACCAAATTATTTCATCAACATATGAATTATTTCAGTTTTCAAAAAGAATGTACTTCGGCGTCTGTATGGGGACCACGAAGAAACTGAAACTTTGACAGAAAGGGAACAAGATACCTCAGCACCTGTCGCTGACAGGATATGCGTCACTGCAAATTACACATGTCCTGTCATACCACAGAAAAAAGTTTACACAGTGACTCCTAAACCACTTGGTGTTCTTTCGGACAAAAAGTCTTCTCTGCCTGTTGAACTTGAGGGACCAGAGTTTGTTGAAGAAGAGGATTACAGTGAGTCAGAGGAAGAGGAAGAAGGTAAAATACTGTATATGCTTTGCAGTGCGGAAAGGTATCAAAAACAAAAACAAAATCAAAACACAACTTAGTTAGCATAAGCCAAATGTGTTTTCTGAAATCATTACAGGGTTAAAAATATCTTCAAAGTTGGCTTCAAACTTTTTTGAAAAAGTGTTTGTATTTATACTTTCCTTGCCACAGGCATTTTACACAAATTTGTTCTAAATTGATTGATTTTGCATTTCCACTTTGACATAGATCCAAATTCAAGGTTGCTTTTACACAGATATGATAACATTAAATTAAGAAAAAATATGTATATGTATACTTTGCAAAATGGACTATTATTGTGGGAATTCTGAAGGTTCTAATTTGTCAATATGCCAGTATTGATGTTGATTTTATTTACTTATTCTTTATATAAATCTTGGTGTGTATCTGCATAAATTATTGAATCTAAATTACTGTACATTTGAAGTCATTGTGTTAATAAGCACTGTTATCACACTTAACAGTTAAAAGGAGAAGAAGAAGAAAAAGAAAACAACAACATATTGACCAAACAGAAGGGCAGAGACAAAAAACAGAAAGTGTTGGAGTCTCAAATCAAATACTCACAAAAAATCAAAAGAGAAAATTGAAGAAAAAGAAAAGGAAAGAGAGAGAGAAACTAAGTCCAGGAGAAAACAAGAAGGGGTTTACATATTCTATAGACACCAGTGAGGATGTCACCAAAGGACAGAACAACTGGTACTTTCTGTTACAACAAATAACCACTATAGCAATTATCTAATACAGTCAGTAAATTATTGTAAATCAAGTATATATTGGAAATGTTTGACTTTGATTTAAATTGAGAGAAAGGTTAGTAAATATGTTAACATGTCAAAGGCAGTATATCTACATTTGTACAATTAAAAACAATGTATCAGTCTCTGCTGATTTGAAATTGTATTTTTCATTGTAACATCCAGTCAGAGAGAAGAGCTGTGTAACAAGTTACCAAAACTGGTGGAGTTTGTCAGGGCTGTGTGGGAAGTGTACAATCAAGATGGTGGGTATCTTTACTTAAATGTCCAAAGCATATACCATTCGAATGATGAGCTAGAAAAGAATTGTAAAGAACAGACTTTAGAGAATATATCCCGTTTAGTGTCTATATATGTTAGCGTTACATCCTTTTTAGCACCCGTTTGTGCTACGGCTGGGTGGCCTTTACTACAGTCATGTGTTAATGTGTAAGGAAGCTTCACTTGTTAGGATTTTGTGTCCTTTGCATGTAAGGGTTTTGAATTATATTCCCTTAAAATACTAGGGACTTGTTCCCTTAAAATGTTGTGGTTATGTCCCCTTTATTCTTAAGGTTATACTGAGATGATTATATCATCCTATTTTTGAGGATGTGTCAGATGTATTGCTCATTAACATAACAACATCTGTGTTAAATAGATATTGTAACAGTGGCAACATTATTCTTCTGAAAGGACAGGGCCCTATAGATTGTGATGAAACTTTGTAAAAAGTTGCACTATTCAAATCTGACATTGCTAATATTTGGTGTTTTTTCAAGAACATTTTAATGTAAAAAAAATTAAAATTCTTATGTATCTGAGTATTCTGGGTTTTTTTTCAGTGAAGGACTCAAAACACCATGAAGAAAACTTTGCCAAACTGTTAAATCAGATGGCCTCCATATCTGATACAGAGGATGAAACTGTTCTAAGTGAATTTAACAATCTGTGGCATGTGAAAACTCTGCTTATTCTTGCTGACCATCCTAGGGCTGAAGAAAAAATCAAACATTTAGAAAACACCATAACAGTAACAGTTGACAAAGGCATGTTTCATATTCTGATAAATCCTATACAAACATAACTGATATCCTTTAATGTCCTTGACAGATTATTTCTCTTATCCTGGATAGGTATATCTATGCTTTCCTCAAGACTTGAGATTGGGGGATTCCCCTCTCATATCTATGATGCAAGGTATAATGGGACGTTACAAACAAGACCAGCAGTAAATATCCATAACATCCAACATGTGGTATTATCTGAAGATTTTCTTCTGTATAACTTCAACGTATATTTTCTAAAGCTTATAAAATAAGAGAATTGAGTCACAGTGTTACCTTTTCCTCGATAAGCATTAACTAGTTTTAAAACACATACATACCAGGGGGTGGAAGGGATTATGTGCACACTATATGAAAAAGAAGTCATAGAAACCGTATTTATATATAACACAAATTTGTAATCAGTAGAATTCACTCATGTAGTATAATGTCAATAGTCAGCAGCAGAAAACACAATTTATGAAACATAAGTCAGTCCATCAAGAATTATGTGCTTGCTGATAAATATTTGTCCATAACCTAATAAGAAATGTTTTGGTATTTTCAGAGTCCCTGGAATTATTATGCATTCTACTGAGGTACTGGATAACTGACATTGCAAATCAGACGTGATGAGTTGTAAATAAGAGATGATGGGTCCAAAACAGTTGCTGTTGATCGCAGACAAAAACCATGTTCTTGGGAGACGTGAAATTTCTAAGAACTGTTTGTTCAAGTTGCTGTCAATTACATACCAAAACAGTGTTCTTTGGAGACATGTCAAACAGTTTTATATTTCTTATTAAGATGAGTAAAAAATATGGGACCTTCGATTATTTGTGTAGCATTGAGCCAAGACACAAGACTGCCAAACAGGTCTAACACATGCAATAGTTCATACTTCATTTAGGATAGTGGTAAAAAACGAGATACATTTGATTGTCCATTGTTAATGTCCGTTTGTTTGTATTAAAGGAGATCTGACAATCCACAGACATGCACCTAAAGGTCCATGCCAATGTTAGAAATCCCAAAAGGGGTTACAACTGATAACTGTATGTCAGCCAGTCTTTTCTCATCAGATGTCTTTATAATACAGAATAAAGACCATAACAATTTTGAATCTTTTACAAGCTGTATTTATTGATTGTATAGAAAGTATATATACACCAAAATGTCATGTTTCTTCTTTAGAAGTTCCATATCTACTATCTATAATTCTACCATTGTGCTCCTCACTCTATCATTTTCCTGATCAGTCATGCACTTCCTGAAGTCTGCGATTAATTTGAAAAAGTGAATAATTTGTAAATCATGATTTTTAAAAAAGAGAAAGATTTGTCAATCAATGTCCATAGCACCTTTAATGGACGGCTTTAATTTGGTTTCTGGAAAATGTTAGAGGAGTGTACAAGCTAATAAAGTTCTGCTACACACTACCTAAATCTGATTAACATAATTCTACAAGCTTGAAAATAACTACATAAATCTGTCCAAAGTATCTAAAGTTATTACATGTTCTAAGTACCTTAACTGATTACATGGTCTCATTCAAAGTACAAGTAAATCTGATTACAGTAATCATGATTCAAATACCTGAAATCTGATTACAGTAATCATGATTCAAATACCTGAAATCGGATTACAGTAATCATGATTCAAATACCTGAAATCGGATTACAGTAATCATGATTCAAATACCTGAGATCCGATTACAGTAATCATGAGATCGGATTACAGTAATCATGATTCAAATACCTGAGATCCGATTACAGTAATCATGATTCAAATACCTGAAATCCGATTACAGTAATCATGATTGAAGTACCTAAAACCTTATTACAGTAATCATGACTGAAGTACTAAAACCTGATTACATCAATCATGACTGAAGTACCTAAAACCTGATTACATCAATCATGACTGAAGTACCTAAAACCTGATTACATCAATCATGACTGAAGTACCTAAAACCTGATTACATCAATCATGACTGAAGTACCTAAAACCTGATTACATCAATCATGACTGAAGTACCTAAAACCTGATTACATCAATCATGACTGAAGTACCTAAAACCTGATTACAGTAATCATGATTGATGTACCTGAAATCTGATTACAGTAATCATGATTGAAGTACCTAAAACTTGATTACAGCAATCATGATTCAAGTATCTGAAGCCTAAATTCATGATCATAATGTACATAAAATGATTAAATCAAACATGTTCTACATGTTAATTAAACAGTTCAACACAGAGATTGGTTGCAAATCCAACCATCAGAGACTAAATCAACACTTAAACTGGTTAAAATGAAAATCTGTCTCAAATGGATGGTGGTTTAAGTGGATTATTAGTGGCTGGATTAATGTTACTTAACACAAGGTGTGTTTCTGTAACAGGGTTAATTTACAAAACATATTGTCAACATTCATTCAAGACACCATATCATTGCTAAAACACACTAATATCACAGAAACAATGACACAATAGAAGAGGGTCATTATTTTAGGTTTGAGACAATTATGGTCTATGATAAATGATAGAAGTACAGATACCAGAACCTTGTCTCAGAATATTTTCCCTTGGCAATGTCAATAGAATGAAAGTTCTTATAACATCAAAAGTAGAAGATAAGTGGGTTTTTTTCCCCATCAATGTAACACTGTAGTCATCCAAATGTCTCATTTATCTTCTTACTCTTTGTGTTATAAGAACTATTCTACTGAACTTTTTGATCTACAAAAATTCAGAATACTGCTTATATATGTTTATTTGAATGTTAATCATCGAATCATGTTTTGTGTAGTAATTGGTTTACCATTAATTTCTGTACATTTTCTTAAAGTTCTGGTTTAGATGAGCTGGGAAAAATGTACAACTGCAGATGTTTATGGACAAGAAGGCTGTGAATCCCTGAGTTATTTTGCATATTGAAATTCTGCCCTTGCCAAGAGCATGACAAAAATTATTTGGGACAAGAATATAGCTAAATGAAAACAAAATAAAAGAGACCAAAAGAGACATATTCCCCATCCCAAATCACAACTGATACCTGACCCTCTTCACCTGGTCTTTTGATGAAAATCTCATCAGGTGTAAAACTTGATGTTACCCATAATAAGGTGTTAACATTATATCAATGTGTTATGTGATTCATATGACTATTTCGTTATTACCATACAATAAACAGACATGGATGAGGAGACAATGTTGCGACTACACAATACCTTGGCTAAAAGTGGGTGTACACTCTACTGAACCACAGTAATCAGAACACTGTTTCTATATTCTGTTTCATCATATTTCAGCATGCTGATGAGAATACTGCATCCTAAACAAAATTATTCAAATTTCAACGACGATGTTATTTTGCAGCAGTGATTGAACTTAAATGAAGTACCAGTAGTTCATCAATATCTGATCTTTAACATACACAAGCCCTTCCAAATGAATGTACAGCATAAATTCCTTGTTCAAAACAAAACAAAAAAACAATGCTGTTTGATAATATCAGTATGGATTAGTAATTTGAACCATGTAAATATTAAATAATATCTTATAAGCATTACATATTTACAACCTCAATACCACAAAACAAATACGTGATTACTTTACAGATTACCAAGTGTTTCTCAAATTATCATTTGACGGATTCTGATAGCCACCATTTGGACTTTCCTTCTGATTGATATCTGATGATGATTCTGCACATCAAAATCATTTACACTTAAAAATCACCATGGTACCATAACCAATCTGGAATCTATAAATTTGATTTAATTTAATTCAATTTAAAGGTGTTCTTGTTTAACATCAGAATCAAATATATTAAAAATGATTAATTCTCACTTTAATTTCTGAATGGCATAAAACTAAAACCTCATACACCCAGAATTGTAATCATAATAATCAAAATGTAATGGATTCTCTTTTTAAACCCTTCAAATTGCAAATCTCTACTTTAGTTCATACAAGAATATTCATCGATCACATTGATACAAGGAATATTATGTACTTTCAATATAAAATCTTCAAAAAGAAATTAGTTGAACACATTAAAAAATTGCAAGTTTCCTTTTTCTACATTCCATCTGAACTTGTTCATTGCCCCACATATTACCCTGTGTTAGAGAGAAAAAAAGATCAATCAAACTTAGGTCAATAACATAATAACATACCACATATATAATTACTAAGAAAAAAACATTTATGAAATAATATTACACCAATATTTGTATATCTCACAATTACATAACTGTAAATGCAGCATAAATTGATAAAATCCCTCAAAGGATTTGGTTTGAATACTAGTCTACAATTATGCCTACAGCTTTAATGTCATACTAAGTATGTACATAAACTACTGGAAAACAGGCAGACCTTAAACTTGTATTATGCAACCAAAATCAAATAAATATTAAAGTATGCTCACATTAGATTGCGTAATCAAATGAAAACCTTTTCTTCCTGGCTTGTTTAGTGATCTTTAAATACGTCAACAAATGTAAAACACTAGACTTTTCTGAAACTCCTTGTGACATGATGTATAATTTACAGCAGTTTTCTACCTTAGTAATAATTTAATTTTTGTGATAAGAATGTTTTACATTAATAGAACATAATTAGAAAAACATGTAGATACTCATTAGCATGTAATATAAATATGCATTTCAAAATATACCAAACATGTATATCTCTTATAAACCGAACTAAATCTGGTGGTAGTACAAATGACACATGTTGTCTGAACACTTTTCTAATACAAAAATCTTGTATCTGGAATTGAATCACACATTAATCCTGTAAGAAAATAATAATAAGAAAAAAAGACAATTGACAAATAAAGACATTTTAAAGAAAAGAAAAAAAGTGCCTCATTTTATGCTAATACATGTGCCCAAATAAATGCTGTTTTTCCTTTTACAATTCAGTGTGTTGATGTATATCTGCTAAAAAGGTTCAAAGTACTGCGTATTTAAAATGAGATGTAAATGGATTCCTTTCTGATTTACACTAAGCATGTGTAGGGATACCTTATGACATGTGAAAGGCATATACATACATACATACTGATTTCAATCTCTTCCATGCATCTTGTTTCTATTGGGATAATTCTGACCCAAAAAGCACAGTAGACACTTTAATGTTAATAAAAACACTTGATGAGTAGTCTTGTATCAAGAATACTGAATGTGTCCTTTTCATCAGTAATATCATTTTAGCACTTTTCAAACTCAAGTCCTAATTTGTCCAAAACTGATATTTCACTGAATTTTTATTGCACTAAGTATGGATGTTTCCAGAATTTATTTTGGTATATTGTAATATCTTTATACCCAACATGTTCATAGCACACTGCCTCAAATTCCAGTAATATCTTTTGTATCTTTATACCAAGCTTGTTTCTAGAACACTACCTCATATCCCACCTAAGTCCTTTCTCTTTTCTATAAGGATATGTTGTCAGTATTATGTGTGACAACAAGGTGCACAGTTTTCAGTATAAAAGACAAAGATACCTCAATCACAATACTAAACAAGAGTACCACCAATGGTACAAAAGCTTGCCTCGCATTGTTTATCACTAAACCCTGAACTGGAATAACAAGATAGTTTCATTGACTGGAATTTATGTCACAGCATACTGAACAGGAAATAATGTCTTTCACCGATGGCACCAAAAACTTTATATTAGATTTGATTAAATCAAATTTCACATAAAATGTTGGAAGAAACAAAAACCAGTTTTTTTTTCTCAAAAATCGTTTATAAAGACTCAAAGTGTGAAATTACACCCTTAGAAACCCTCACACCAAATATCATTACCCCTGTACACTTATAGAGGAGTTTACTGATACATTTCAAAGTTTGCACCAAAAAACGAACAATATATTTGAGATAAAAGTCAAATTCCCAAAATCAGACCTTTTTCTGAAAAAGTTTTCATTCTTATTCCAGAATGTAATAGTTATACCCATCAGCAACTCTCAATATAAAGATTTTTTTAAATGTCTTTCAACACTTTCTTTTTGAAAGTAGACTTAAAAATGCCAGATTTGGTGCTTGCTGAAATGGCCAAGCCAAATAGTACTGCTATCTATTAATGCATTTATATTCATGTTGTAAAAATATTAAACTTCAAGTTAAAAGATAATTATACCATTTCAATCAAAATGCATGTTGTTTTAAAATATAAATGCACTCTCTTTAGAAGATACACTAAGATTAAAGACAATATCCATGTTACAATCATTATACAATTCCTCCATGATTAGAACAGTATTGAAAATATCCATGATTGAAACAGTACTAAAAATCTCAAGTTTTGGCAATATCATATTTGTGTCATGATATGATACAGCATTTCTAACAGGTACTTAAATTTTGAAGACAATCCTTTATGCACGGTCTGGGCGGAGTTGAAACAGTTTCTCAATAACACTTTCATCTGCCATTGTTGTAATGTCTCCAACGTTTTTGTCACCAACTGCGATTTTACGGAGGATTCTTCTCATTATTTTTCCTGACCTAGTTTTTGGAAGCCCTGGAGCATTTTGAACGAAGTCTGGAGATGCAAATGGTCCAATTTTTTCCCTCACTGAAATGAATCAATATCCTGTCAACAGCTATGGTCATTTAAGGACAGCGATGAAGGTATGAATGACAGACCTCATAAACAAATCTTTTACCAAAATGTCTATAGATCAGAGACTATATTTCACAATAACAACAAGTGCAATCATTGATTGCAAAGCTTATCGGCAGCAGCTGTTGCAAAATGCTTAATTATTGTATATGATAAACAGCACAGGAGTTGGATAAATACAGAGACAGCTTTTCAAAATTCAAAAACTTACTCTTGAAACTTCAAACTTATATGAAAAAAATTTCTGTCCCAATACATGACAAATTTCTTTGAAAATAAAAAGAAAAGCAAAATTTTAGCAATGGGCAAGAATTCAACCAAAGTTATGTTACGGACACAGAATGTTAACAAATGGTGTTAGTCTTGTAATTATGGAGTTGCAGGCCATGATTTTTGTACACTTCACATCGTCTTGGTACATACTAACAATGTAAACATCAAGTTTTATTATCATTATGGTAGGCTCTGGACAAAAAATTTGACCAAGGGCTATAACTACAATTAAGGGGTTATGGGCTCTGTATTATGTACACTGCACATGGTCTTAGTATGACCATGCATACACCATGTTTCATTATCCTTGCTTCACTGTTGTCAAAGTTATGCTTCAGACACTAAAAGAAAGATGGGCAAACGGACAATGTGGCAACTACATGCTTTCTCAAAATTGTTTAGGGAGCTAAGAAAAAACAGAATCAAACTGCTATAATATCAAAAAACCAATAACAATTGCATGTACAAAATGAGAAGGGTGTGGGATGTATAATTATGGACCCAGAGACATTGATAAAAATTGCTTTGAGTGTTCAAATAAAACATCTACTTGATCCCTGAACTCCTTACTAATTACCTTGTACCTGTCATTTTGTTTCCTATCCATTACTTCTTAGCAAATTAAAAATCAAATCCTATGTATGGCCCTCCTTAACAACACCTCGAGTTCTGGGAGGATACATGTTTTACTGAAATAGTCTTAAGCAATTTCTTATGATAGATCACACGATTAAGTACATTTAGTACAATGTTAAAGTATACATATCATTAGTGTTGATTTCCTCCTCACAGTATCTAATTCTACTGTTATGATCTAACTCTGACCAGGAACAAACGTTTGTCACTGCATTTGCATTTTTTGATATCAACCTTAATGTAACAAGAAATGATTTTTGGTGTTCACTATCATATAACTTTCATTGGTTCTATGTAAAGTGGTTTTTTCTCTTTTCTTGTACATCATGTATTACTTAGTGTCAACAGTACTTAGATAATCATCGCATGCTCATCATGTTGCATGAATTTCCATTTCAAATGAGGTCATCTTTTAACCCACTGATAGCTGGAACCGTACCAGGAAAACTAGCAGTAAGGGGAACCTACATGTGAATGGTGATACAGACATGTCAGTATATTTTGTAATGCATGTAACAGCAACAAATTTTAACACTCCAAATTCAAGATGGAAGTCTGTGAATGACCCAATATTTTCAGATCATGGGACAAATGGAAAGGAACAATATGGCCTCGCAAAGTTCAAGATTGCTACCTTTGCAATTTTGACTTCCAATCACTCCTAAAAGACTACTTGCACAAATGGAGACCAAGGGGAAAAATTAATTTCATAAAGAATCATCTGACACTTTAAGAAATACAGCTATTATGAATTGTTTATAGACAACAAGTGAAAATTAAATTGAAAGACAAGGGATAAAGCAAGAGCTACTTCAGTTAAACATAGACACTTTTCCAATTCATGAACACAAGATTCATACCTTTGTTCTTCAATTCCACAACCAACTTTTCACTGAACTCACAACCCTGAAATAATAACAAGGTATAAGTAAAGATATCTTATACAATGTAAGTCTTTAGTCTACATTCTACTTCTGACCTGTGTCCTGAAATTTTTATCAGTATTATCTCACCACTACCATGACAGAATTGTCCATTTTTTACTCCCACACAGGAAAATATAAACAAAGTCTACCCAATGTCACAGACAATAGGTGTAGAGTAAGGTTACAAACACCTACATTTCACTGATGGTAAAGTGCTTCTATAACTGAATCTACACATGGTTGATAATTGATTTGTTAACAATGATCTTTCTGGAATATTTATCTAAATACCCTTTTACATTTCTGGAGAAATTTCAATTTTGTAAACAAGTTGACGTTGTGTTATATTCATAGTATCACTCATTTATGTGAAGGAGCAAATTAAAACGTTCTGTAAACATATATTTGAGGAAAGGAAACAAGTTTTTAACCTACCTCCTTGAGAGTAACAAAACAATAGGTACACTCTCCCTTGATTTCATGTGGATGGGATACTACTGCAGACTCTGATACATGCGAATGTTCTATCAGAGCACTCTCAATCTCAGCTGTACTAAGCAAGTGACCTGAAACATTCACCATATCATCTATGCGTCCAGTCACCCAGAAATATCCATCTTCATCAAACTTTGCACCTATTAGGAAAAAGAAATTAAGTACAGCATGAGTTGGCATTAAAATTAAATGTGGATATATAATATAAGAGACATTGCAGCACTATAAGAAATTTTATTTTTGACACTGTACTACTCACCAAAGCCACATCTTAAGACCCATTTCTAAGCTTGAATCCCAGAATTTTGCTCCGTATGAATGTGTGATTTTTTTTTATATTTACAATATTTTGTAGATCTATACATTAAACTTTTATACGTAGCAATACTATGTAAAATTCTGATTCAGTGCCAAGAAAAAGTGAGTTATAAGAAATCCCTTAAGAGAAATGTTCCACATATGCACACTTAAATCAAAAGTTTTGACGAGAAAATTATTGCCAGGAGCAATGTCCATGAAAAAAATCCTCATAACTGTGAAATGATTGAATTGTCCACTGTCTTTGTGAATTAAATAATAATAAAAAAAATAATAATACGATAAAACATATACCATCTCCTGTGCAGTAATATCCAGGGAATTTCTTGAAGTAGACAGTCTCAAATCTCTCATGATTTCCATAAACTGTTCTCATTATACCTGGCCATGGCTGCTTGAATACCTGAATTTCACACAAGTAATTGGGATTTCATATAATTGCATTTTCTAAAGAGTCTTCCCGAAGGACACAACTACATCAGCAAAGAACAGTCCATTTCTCAGCTCCCTGAGAAACACAAACTGGATTGGGTAGTGTCCAACCACATCCATCGAAACCTGAAGTTTTGTAAGCCAATGCTCTGAATGAATTGAAATGACCCCAAAAAGGAATAAATATGTAATACTGTTACTTACAATGTTCCACAGGTCATAAAAACAATGAAAGCCTTCTATTACTTTAAAGCACCCCCAAAATAAGCATAAATGATAAATCACAGAAAATGCTGGATTTTGCAGCAACATTGATATCATGATGAGCCTTGACATACATGGTCAAGTTTTGCGACTCTGATTTTATGAGGACAATTTAGGAATGTTACAATAAAAATAGCATAGTATTTGTGTTTACCAAGTATCCCTCTTTACCAGCCTCAGTGATCTCCTGGCCATTTTCATCTAATATGGTTGGCACTATTCCAAAGAAAGGGAAAGTCTGGAAATGAAAAGCAGACACTTAAGTGAAGTGCTCAATCACAATAAAGTCTGAAATACCAAAACAGATGTTTAAAAGAACAAAATTCAGTTTACTTTATCATTCATCTGATAATTACTTTTCATTGCACATAAGCTGCAACAAATTTTAAACTTTGAGATATGGCAACAGGAAAGAAGTCTGTTGTGACCACCTTTCTGACTTATTTCTAAAGGGGAAAGTATATATACTTACTGCTGATCCAGGTTTGAGCGGAGTGGCTCCTGGAAGAGGTGTTAGTGTGTGGCCACCCTAGAAAATGATAAAATGACAACTAATCGCTGAATGGTAGACTACATAGTGAGTTACATTTTCTACAGTGTCATTACTTGATAAGTACCAATCAATCTCAACTGAACCTGAGCTCAATTTGACCTTTCATTCAGATCATGAATTATTTGGCTGGTACCAATCAAAGGATCATTTACTGCAAGATTCACTCAATATATGTAAATTCCTAATTATTTGATGATGTTGTCAATATTCTGGTGTTAAATACTATAACTTTTCAAAAAAAAAAAATTGTCAATACGAGATGATTATTTTAGAACCTGCTGATCTTGACTTACTGTTTCTGTCTGCCAGAAGGTGTCAACAATAGCACATCTTTTCTCTCCCACCACATTGTAGTACCACAGCCAGGCTTCAGGGTTGATTGGTTCTCCTACTGTAGCCAATACCTTTAGGGATGACCGGTTATATCTGCATCAAGATTAAATCTCAGTCAATCATGGTTGGATAAAATGAAAATTTTTGAGAGGCCTTTAAACCTGGTGTTTGACTAAACATTTCAATAACTATTTGGCACATTCAGTGTCAAATAATGTGCATTTAATATACAACAAACAATCTCTCCATCGGTGTCTCTTCTCTTAAATATTATTGAAGGCCCTTGCATGCTGACAAAATTCATATAGTCCCATATTTTATCATCTTGTAAGTTACATGAAGCCATTCACATAAACAAGCAGAGCAGTTGTTCTAGAATCTGACCTTTCACCTGATGACCTATCGATCCCAGGTGCAATAGACTATTGTAAATTTCTGCCATGCCTTCTTGTAAATGTGTGAAGTAACCATGAAGGTCAAAAATATTATTGTGATTCAAATTTAAATGTATGATTAATTGAATCCATGAGAATGTTATTTTTGGTGTAATCTTCAAATCACACTGTACACAATAACAAGTGACAATTTTGCACAAAACGGCTTCAGTCACAGACAGGTGGTGGGCAGGTACTCGTAAAAACCACACTGCCTTCTCGTACTGGCATGCTACATTTTTTTTCATTCTGTCAATTTTTTTTTCTCTCGTCCACATATAAGCCGCATTGGTATATAAGTCCACATCCAACTCACGAGGAAAAAAGCTGTGGCTTATAATCCAGAAAATATGATACAATGAATTAGTAATTCAATTATTATATGAAATAATAAGTACTTCAAACTGGGTGTTTTGTCAACTGTAGAAACTCACTTTGTGACAAACTCATCCCCAAACTTCATAAGAGCTCTGATGGCTGTTGGAGCTGTGTAGAACTTTGTAATTTCATACTTCTCTACGATTGCCCAGAACCTGCCAGGGTCAGGGTAAAAAGGTGTGCCTTCAAACTGTCAAAAACAAGGTAAATTAAATGTAACCAAAGATTTTGACAACATTTGTACATATTACATTAATTTCAAATCAAGTAAAAAAACATGAATAATTTCAGAAGAAGGGATGTAACAGTAGTGTTCCATTAGTTTTGGTATATATTACAAATGCAAATGTCACAACTTGTTTTTTGGGGTTTTTTTTTTTTTTTTTTTCTTTTCTAATTTTATTTTTGTGTTCAGTTTCCCTATAATTTCAAGAAGTAATAAGAGATCCCAGATGTATCTTTAAGCCCATTGGTTACAAGGCACACCTTGGGGACCAAGGGAAGCTTGCATATGAAATTTGAGACAGATCCATCCCGTACTTTCTCAAAAAATATCTACCTATAACATACTTTCATCATAAATATCCACAATGGTTGCCTGTTAGCCACTTTGTTTCCCTGATCTGTTCTAAAATCAAAAGTGCACAACCAGGGACCAAGGGGAAGCTACATATGAAATTTGAGAATGATCCATCTAATATTTCTGAAGAAACAGCAGAGTACAATTAAGGGCCACTGGGTATCTACATGTGAAATTTGCAAATGATTCATAGAGTACTTTTCAAGATTAAGTGCTGACAATCTACTACTGACAATCTACTACTGTCAAAATCCAAGATGGCAATCAGTCAGACATATTGTTTTCAGATCAGCTCGAAAATGAGATAATGCATAACAAGAGATCAAGGGTCCCTAATTGTATCAATTCTCTGCTCAAAGGCACCAGTGGAACTTGGAACACATCAACATAACAAATGTATTTCACAAATGCATTTTTGAAAGTTTGTTGATTCATCAATGTTTTATTACAAGTACATCTACTTAAGCTGAAGAAATAAGATTATTCTGCTACACCAAACCTTTGGTTTTCATGCTCTCATAAAATTTTTTGAGAAAAAATTGTTATTTGAACATGAGAAAATTGGTAATTTAAAACCTGTAATGGAATATATATGAAGAAACACTGTCAACAGTGCACAAGGAGACCCTACGGTACATATTTATTATTTATGATTCTAAATACTGAGACCAAAAGTATTCTGGCTGTATCACGTAATGGTGTACTATTACATCCCTAGTAGGAGGTTCATCAAATATCAAACTTATTCCTGTGTTAGGACTATTCATTTGATCCTTTGATTAAAACTCATTTATGACAATGATGGTACTATTACCCTGTAGAATGTAATAACACACTACTTACTATGACACTTGTTGCCCCATTGGTCAGTGGACCATAACAGACGTAAGTGTGGCCAGTGATCCACCCCACATCAGCTGTGCACCAGTAGATATCATTTTCCTGGTAATCAAAGTCATACTTGAATGTTGAAGCAGCATACAACATGTATCCTCCCACAGTATGGAGGACTCCCTTGGGTTTTCCTGTTGAGCCACTGAAACAAAGTTAAAAAATCACTCAAGATAAGAATTTTGAATTCTCAAAGAAATGAAAGGAAAGTGGGCACAGAGATGTACCCTAATTACCTCATCTTTTTATTTTCAAACTAATCTGGTGAGGGGTTTATGAGGTGTCTTGTACACAATATTTTCATTTAAAAAATGGTCAAGAGTCAACTTTTTCACCTTTGACAGCAAAACATTTTCATATGTTGAACTAGATGTTGCTATATAGTCTGGTGTGAATGTGAACCATGACTGTAAACAAGCTTGTATTTTCAAATTGGTGCCACCTTTGTCCTTTAATCTTGTCTGATGAACTACAAAATCTGTTCAAGTGTTGATTTGTTTTTAATGTCCCTGCAACAACCAGATTGATACTACAGGTGTAAAGAGGGTCACCAAAGTGGAAAATAAAGCACAGACAGAAAAGAAAGGAAAATAACAAGATCTAAGGTGTTGTAATGGGGACAACAGATCTGTTTTGGTCTTCTGGTAAAAGATACAGAAGAAAATCTTTGATTCTATAGGTCAATCACCTAATATGATCATACAGTGTAATACAGCAGGCCCTAGTATTGGGCTCTTTGATGTCACCTTATCATAAATGTTGGAGAAACACTCTTCAATCTGCACAAAGGATTTCAGCAGGTGTAAAACTTACTGTGGTGTGAAGATACTATAGGCTATTCCAACATTATCTTGGTGGGAGAGGTGGGAGGCTCATATTCTAGAATTTGATGAATAGTAGAGTAATCACCATCTAGTATCTCTTAAACTAAATATATTTCAGTATATGATGGGTGGTTGGGTCTCTGAAAAAAATGCCATCCATCCCTCCCACACAGATAGTTTTGGACTCTCCCTAAAACATGAACATGATCTTATCTGTTGTATGAGCTATCTTGTACACAACCTTTATATTTCAAAAATGGTCATGGTGATCTCTGACATTTGACCTTAACCAATAACCATACACCAAAATTCAATAAGTGTATAACTTAATGGCATATTATGGGGTGAAATATATTACCTAAATCTGTCCTGTACACAACCTTTGCCAGGATGCAGAGTGATAACTATATACCCATCCACTCACCCCTTAACCAAGTGTAGGGTGTAGACAATTTGTTTACAGCTTAAATTCTGTCAGCACACTGTTGACAATTTCAATCATTATTCAATGATGAAAAACAGAAATAAGTGCAGGATGAACAACTTTAAGATACGTAAAAATCAAGATCCCTCAAATAAGCATGGAGACAAAGGCTTTACCTGGTGTACTTCTACAATGTCAATTACAAGACACAAACCTATAATCGTGGTCATTTCATGATGTCCTATAACAGTGTTTACCTGTTGTAGACCTATGATAGTGTTTACTTATGTAGTCCAAGAACAGTGTGTACCTGGTGTAGACCTACGATAGTGTTTACTTATGTAGTCCAGCCATAGTGTTTACCTGGTGTAGACCTACAATAGTGTTTACTTATGTAGTCCAGCCATAGTGTTTACCTGGTGTAGACCTACGATAGTGTTTACTTATGTAGTCCAGCCATAGTGTTTACCTGGTGTAGACCTACAATAGTGTTTACTTATGTAGTCCAGCCATAGTGTTTACCTGGTGTAGACCTACAATAGTGTTTACTTGATGTAGTCCAATAACAGTGTTTACCTGGTATAGATCTAAGACAGTGTTTACTTGATGTAGTCCAATAGCAGTGTTTACCTTGTGTAGAGCATGAAGAGATGGTCTTCTGCATCCATCCATTCTGGCTCACACTCTGTTGAAGCGGAGGCCATTTCTTTATGCCACCATACATCTCTTTCATTGTTCCAGTGGATCTAAGAAAACAGCACTGGCATATATGTACACATGTATATAGACAACAAAGACACAATATCAAACTCAATTGGGAGTCTTTAAATATCCCATAGCTTTCATGTCTGAAGTTTGTTACTTTTAAATACAGTTTTCAAGAAATAAATAAATAGCTTCCTTACTACTTTTTACCAATGAAGTCTGATTATACTTAACCTGTACATCATCTATTGTCACTTAAATGTAACCTTATCATTTCCTCATTAGGACATTTGTATAAATCTATTTAATATCTATATATCAATTCCCACTTGAATACACTACATGGTCAAAGCATCAGCAAAAATTCAGGAGGTATGTATAGAGATTTGTATTTCAGCAAAATCAATTAGCATTGCTATTAGTCTAAAAGGAATTAATCCTGACGAGGTAACTCACCTTGAGTTTACGTGAAGGTCTTTTTGCTGGAGGCTCATCCTCCATATCACCATGGTCATCTATTTCTTCAGTTGTTGTCAGATGTTTAACAACGACACATCTCTTCACACTGTGATTCCTGTATGACCAAGCAAATAATGTAAGATTTGAACATGAACATGTAGCTTGATTAAATACTTTTCATTTCAACATATTTTACTGTTAAACAATTGGACTGAATATCGAACACTTTAAAGATTATTTCTATTTTTTTTTATAGAAGATTTTCTGTCAAAACTGAATACAAGTGAATATATTACTCATTGAAAATGTATTTATGCCAAATTTAAAACGTATGATGAAATATTGATAACAGCAACATGTTTTTGATTAGTTTCACATAATCATCCTGCTAACAGAAAATACACTGCACATCCTGACCATCACTTGTGGACTTACGATTTCTCACAGATGACTAAGGCATCATCTACAATCTGTTTGAGGTTCATTAGTTTTGTACCTCTCCACACACCATCTAGAAATAACCATATATGACATGTTTTTATTTTTTGCAATGACGTAAAATAAAAGAATTTGTCAACAATGTTTCCTTCTTTCAAATGATAAGAAAATCATTTTAAATTACATATCTCAGTTATTTCCTGATACATGGATAAAAGAAATGTCAGTTCTTCAAATCATGGTTACTCTGCAGGGCTCTCACACCCCATTTTGGGACTTGGGCCTGGGGCCCTTAGAATTGGGTAAAAATAGCAGCATTTTCTTTAGAATTGAGAAACCTTGGCGTCTCAATTGGGAAAAAAAGATATTATTTTGCATTGGGAATGGGGCCGAGGCAAATCTTCGGCCCCAAATCTGGCAGATCGAGAGCCTTGCCCTGTGAAATAAATAAAGTACAAACAGCAACAAATCATGTCTGTAGTAATTTCGTCTGATCTAACTTAGCAAGGGGTATTGAAATTGTCCAGTAGTGGACTATAACAGCTAATCTTAGAATCAGACAGTTTATGAAGTTATGAACATCTGTACTAAATATTTATTCTGCGTACATGTGCAAAAAATTGAAAATTTCAAATAGAATATTCAAATATGCAATGTACATGAATATACTAAGAATATTCAAATATGCAATGTACATGAATATACTACCTGTAGTAAGTACAGCACAACAGCCACCATCTATTATCCGCTCTGCTAGAGATTCCGAGGAGAAACCAGCAAACTGGAATAGCATATACATGGGTTAAATATTATCAGAAAGTCTAAACACTTCCTTAATGAAACTAGAATGTGATTTCTTTGAACTATGCCAACTACAATTTATCAAACACCAGATCTTACCAAATGGTGCAGACAGATCCTTCTTAACAAAGCTAATTAGGGGACAGTTAGCTTGCTTTTATGCATATACTGGAAATTGGGTCACAAAGTTTGGTTTTAACATGAGACAAAGTCAAGTGTTAAAACGAAAAAAATTCATGATCTTTGGACTTGTGTCAAAATTCATGAGTATATCGTTGATTAGATCATAACAATTAAAGCATACTTACAAACAGTTAAATGACTTACCACAATAGAATGTATAATACCCAATCGTGCACACCCCAGCATAGCCACAGTCAATTCCAAAATCATTGGCATGTAGATTGCCACGCGGTCCCCTTTCTGAAGTCCTAAATAAGTAAAATCATTATTTATGATAAACATATTCCTGATATACCAGGTATGCTTTTAACAGAATGTAAAGTTTTCTAGAAGTATTCCTTGACATAACAAGAGGCCCAAGGGGCCTTAACGGTCACCTGAGGAATATATGTCAATAATCTGGGGATTTTAAAAGGTTGCAAAAATGTAACAACACTTGTGCAGGACCATGTGTAAAACATCTGTACCAAGTTTGAACATGACCCACCCAATGGTTCTTGAGAGGAAGTCCATAATGTCTTAGCCAAACAGAGGCCAGGGTGGCCATCTTGGATTTTGAATCGCCCCAAAAAGATAAAACACTTGCCAGGACCTTGTGTAGAACATTCGTATCAAGTTTCCCCTTTTCCCCCCTCCTGGGGCCCCTATTGGGGCCATGCCCTTTTTCTTCGCAAACTTGAAGCAGCTTCCAATGGGGATGCTTTGTGCCAAGTTTGGTCAAAATCCATCATATGGTTCTTGAGAAGAAGTCATTTAAAGAAGGTTTTTAAACAAGGCCCCTTTTACACCCCTTATGGGCCCCAAAGGGGACATAATCATATTTTTCAACATAATTTCATATGTCCTTCACTGACGGATGCTTTCTACCAAATTTGGTTGAAATCGGTTAAAGTTGAATTTTTTACCCTTTTGAGCGCCCCCTAGCGCCCCCTAGTTTTTGACCCAATTTTTTTTTCATTCGCAAACTTTGTAGACCATGCCATAAGGACCCTAAATTTAAAATATGAACTTAATCTGACTATTGGTTCATGAGAAGAAGATTTTTAAAGATTTACCTAATTTTACACCCTTTTTCCCCTTCCTGGGGCCTCTATTGGGGCCATGCCCTTTTTCTTTGCAAACTTGAAGCGGCTTCCCATGGGGATGCTTTGTGCCAAGTTTGGTCAAAATCTATTCAGTGGTTCTTGAGAAGAAGTTGAATATGTGAAAAGTTAACAACGCACGGCGCACGACGCCAGACAAATCATGACGGCAATAGGTCACCATGAGCATTCGGTTCAGGCGACCTAAAAACTGCTGAAAAATCTCACACAATGCTTTTTAACTTTTAAATAAAGCATTCTGGAAACTACCTGTTCCGAATAAAACGCTCTCTGATAAAGATGTAATAACTCACTGATACATCATGAGTACTTAGCTTCTGTAATCAAACTGTAAAGACTGACAAGCAAGAAAGGCAAGTCAATGTTTAAGAAGAAGAAGGAATCTGAAAGCTATAGGGCCTTGGAAATTTTATTATCTAAAGTGAAGTTAAATATCCATTCTTGGTGGCATGAGTTTTGTAGTTTGATATAAAGGCTCTACTTTCATCAGCTTATTTTGCTAGGAAGTAAATAAATGTAATACAGAAACCCATATGCAACATAAGTTTAAAATCATATATTTTCAGCAACTTAACATAGATCTGCTGACTTTTATGCGAGCAAACAATCATTCATTCTAAAATGTCATCAAATTTTCTACAGAAATCATATCATTAATATCAAATTGATTTCTAATCCTTCTAATAGTATAGTTTATCACTGTCATGGACCCTTACAAAATAATAGCTGTTATCATTTTTGCCTATATAGATGTGATAAACAAATGTGAATTACCAAGTTTCTTGAGAACATTAGCAAATTTGCAAACTCTATCTTGAAGCTCCCGAAAGTTGATTTTGCCATGGTCATCAGGGTCATTCCCTTCCCTAAATAAAAGGAATGAAAAGAATGAAGTCAAGTGTATACAAATAGTATTGGATCCATGCAATGTACATAGTGCTATGGTTCAAAAGAACAAAGTCAAGTGTATACAAATAGTATTTGATTCAGGTAACATGCATAGTTCTTATGGTTCGAAGGCTCTTTATGACCAGTAATAAACACCTGGTAACTGGGAGTCTATCAGATCTAGAAATACTTTTAGCTTCTGTAATGACAGAATGCACTGGAATTTTCACAGCTTTCTCTTAAATAAAATGATCTTTTTATGTATTGTTAATTATCATACATACTTTGACACAACATAATACATTGAACATTACGACATTTCATAAAGGAAAGATCAATATAATGACATATTTAATTAATATGTTTTAGATGAGTTCAAGTTATTAATGTTCACGTTACACTATAACATAATAATAAAAGGTGTTCAGGATCAACTGGGATTAACAGAAAATGTGAATCCTTTACAAAATAACACAGATTTTGATTTTCAGTATTCATTTATATTTATGATTATCTTTTTGGTTTTTGGTTATGATTTCTTTTTCCAGATATGAAGCTTCAGAAAAAATTAATTGAAATAAGAAAAAATAGTATTATCACATGAAAAATGAAAGACATTGTTGTAACTTGTAGTAGAACTTTACAAAAATGGGTAAAAATTGGAAATTGAAAAACCTTCTTTATGAAATCTAAAAATCTACTTTGCAATAAATGAAAGGCTTCTTGAATCTGTTAATCAGGATGCCAACTAAGTACTTTTTTAGACTGGTATGGTAAAATTATTGGTATTTTTTGAGGAATATCTACACAATGTTATATCATCATGATCCTTTTTCATAATGTTTTCTTGTTAAACTTGTTATTTGGCCCAAGTACCAGACAAATCGTAATAACTACTTAATCATGTATTATGAGCTGATCGTAACCGGATATTTGCCAAGGGCATGAGGCTCCTGAGTCCTGACCAATGGCCTAACACTATTGTCTATTAATTATATTAAGGAACACCTTGCTGTACACAGATGTGCTTCCAAGCATTGCGGTCAGCAAAAATCAGGCAACACTGATTACTTAATAGTGATTAGGTAATTGCATTATGTAGTCAGGGAGTCAGTTTTACCTGTTACTGTTCCTCTTTGATAAATATAACAAGGTTATACCCAAGGGCATCTCTAAACTTAAAATTTGGAAGAATATTCCATATTTATATCAATACCATCAGAAGGTGGGACTAGTGAATAAACATTGGGAAACTCCTTCCTTAATCACGAAAGTTGGCAAGATGATAAAACTTAGCTTTTCTAATAAATTGGTCTGTCCATGGACAGTAAAAAAAATTATTTGTTACTGCTTCATCTGAAGAATTATTTAAGACAACCATAGCATCATTTTCAGGTTGCCAATGATCATTTTGAATTTTGAAAATAACCACTCTTATCCTTGTTAGTTGTTATCTACTTTTTTTTCACACTTAACACAAGATTTATCAACCATTGCCATTAGGTTTTTTCAAATTCTTTACTACAAAAGGATAATTCCGCATACAATTTTATGGATTTTTTTAATACAGCACTACCAAAATTCTTTCACTATTTACGCCTGGTACATGTTTATATAATCCAATGATTGTGAAATGTACTTCAAAGGTAAGAAGAGAACATAAAATCCTTTTATAAAGAATCAATTAAGATCATTGAAGGTGTATGCTAAATGTTACATAGCTTTGCATAGCTGCAAAAACCCTACCATTTTCACCATTTTGATTGGTTTTCAATGATAGGTCTAGTATGTTTCATCTTTTCACTGATGTATGATTTATAACTATCGTTCAGCAGTAAGTTAAATACATGTTGCCAGAGTGTCTACATGTGTGGGTCACTAAAATTTGGCCTTTTTAAATAAGAAGGAATTCTGACTATCGACTTCGGACTAGATAAGGGTGCAATGTTCCTTTATGTGTATTCCAGGTTCAGCAGTAAGTTAAATACATGTTGCCAGAGTGTCTACATGTGTGGATCACTAAAATTTGGCCTTTTTAAATAAGAAGGAATTCTGACTATCAACTTCGGACTAGATAAGGGTGCAATGTTCCTTTATGTGTATTCCAGCAATGTTAGAGATTAACACAGCAAGAAAACTATGACAGGGGCAGGGGTCTGAAAAAATATCTTAAACCACTAGGCACAGGACTGGTGGGCTGAAAAATTTACTTGTCCAGATTTGAAATTTACTTGTCCAAATTCAGCTATGAAATGATGACTTAATCAGCGAGGATGTGACATGTGACTTTTTTTCTATTTTTATTTTAAGTTTTAGTGAAAAAACTATGCAGTAATTGCTGCTTTGCGTCAGACATTGTGTGCGACTTAGGCCTAGCCATAATGTTTGTTTACATCCTACTGACTATGTGCTGTTAAGAACGAGAGCACCTGACATCAGTATGAATGCGGGAAAATGACTAAGGTATTCCGAATACTATATTTGACGTCATGGGATTTCCGGTGTAATCAAAAGTTAGAGTGCAGACTGGAATATTTTGTTTTCGAAGTACCGTAAACACGTTTCTTTGTTGTAAATTTTTTCACTTGTTTATTGAAATTCAAGTTGTAACATTAATATCATTGGAAAAAAGTACTCGTCCAACAGACAACTGACAAAGATAAATCTGGTTTTCCGAGACAATTTTCACTCATCCATGACGACCACATGAGTGCTTTTCCAGACCCCTGAGGGGCCTTGCAATAATCGGATAAGAAATCGGCCACTAAATATCCAATACCATACAATATTTCCTGATACCAAATAATATTACCCAATACCATACAATACTTCCTGATACCAAATAATATTATCCAATACCATACAATATTACCAGATACCATACAATACTATACCAAATACTAACCAATACTACCAGAATACAAGTTAATTATAATTCAATATCAACTAATGATTGCAAATAATAAATTACCTTCACTTTCCATTCTACAAAAAAATCTGAACTCAAGTCCATTGATTTGGGTACCTTTCTGAATCAAACACTGTACAATACATCAGTTGACAGTGAAAATGCAGTGGCTGAATTAACAGGGAAGCCTTATAAAAAAGGTTGTATGGACATCAAAAACCAAATTGTGCACAAAAATGTCAAATGATGCTTTAAAATATGCATGATTTATGCTGATCATTGAAATAGGAAGTCTATTTCATTTCAATAAATAGGTCAAGATCATGCAATAGACCTGCTAGCTTCAGCAATGACATTCACATATTATATAGACAGACAATTTGGTATGCAAACTGTTTGAATCATAATGTACCATTGGACCTTATAATTCTCACTGCAATTTCGTGACAAATAAAATGTTCAAAATTAAGATATTTCAATATTTGCAATTATTAGTTGCTATCAATGTACTATTAACTAGTATTTGGGTGGTATTGAGTTAGTATTGGATATTGGGTAGTATTGGCAAGGTATGATATATAAGGATAACAACCTTGACCCAGCGGTGACTTCTTTCATGTTACCCCAACGGAAGGACCCCAACAGAAATAAGCGTATATTGTTACACTTTTTGGGCTATCCTTGGATAGATTTGTTTAACATATATATCAGCTGTCTTTATTGTGATTTTATGTTCCGGTGTTGCATGTTTTATTTATGTCAATTTTTCACCTTATGTACTATGTAACATGTATTTTATTTATCATGCTTTGTATACATTTGTGCAAATCTTTCCAGAATAAATTTATTATTTATTATATTATTATTATTACCTTTTGTGTTTGCACACTGAACCATGAAATCTAACCTTATCATACCATAGGCACCATTCTTTTCTACGCTGACCAGTCTTAGCTCAGCCATTTTTAGCAAGTGAGAAGTGAATCTCATTTTCATTACAAAAGTATCATTGTAAAATTAAAATCACTTATCAAAAACTAACATGAGTCAACTGGATAATTACTCAGTTTTTAAATGGTATCTATTTAAAGATGACTTCCTGCATATGTTTAGTTGGAAGTGGTAGACAATATAGGGTGGTATTCCAGTTGTAAATAGCTCAACCATGCATATATACAAAGTTAACTGCATTTGTTTCTCACAAATGTTAGCACAATAAATTTGAAAATTATCAACTTTTCTTGTAGCGTATATTTTGAACAGATTAGTTATGCGCTTTCGCAGAAAAATGGTTTATAACAAATCAAGGCTCGTTGACATTAACTTCTTTCCTACAGCGCTGCAAAAGGATATAGTCATTTTTTCATTCAATACTATACGTCCTTGGTATTGAGTAGTTCATATTGGATATTAAGACGTGTCTGTCGGCCTCTTTATATCATTGGGATGTCGCGTTAAAGGGAAATAACCCTATATAAATAAAATTGAATAAGGATCCTAACCGGGAAGTTTGATCCGAAGACACTTACCAATAGAATGCTATTTTTTCTCCACGACCTTCTTTGACATGCCTGTCAACAGCGTTGTAACAAATGTTTGTCTGTGCTCCTTCCATCCATTTTATGTAGATACGTCCTTTCCTGCAATCGAAGTTGTAGTCCAAGAACATTCCGGTCGGCTGACTCTTCCAGTAAAACTGTTGTGCAATTTCTTTCCAAAAACCTTCTGGGTCTTCGACGGATCTTTTATACATCTCCCTGTACTGCTGCATGCTTTGAACATGACTTTCTTTTCGCAAATGTTCCAGCGGCTGAAACAGCTGAACGTCTGCATTATTTTCGTCCGCCATCTTGGATGTCAATTATTCGCGCGTCGGGTCAACTAGGTGCGTTCGAATGTTCCATGTAGCGCAGTTACATGGCAACAGTTTAATTTGCTTAATGTCACGTTCTGTTGATAATATCTGATACATTTTTATTGTCACGAATTGGAAAATCTAAGGAGTGCATACATTGAATCACGGAAATTGTATATCTAAATCTGCAGATGTATATTATTTGATGTAGATGTGTACTTTGCTTTGTCTTGCCTTTTAGCTTTGATTATTCATGATTATTCAACATATGTCTCTAATTATTTTTTAAAAATGTCTCTGTCATGCATGCTTTTATCTTTTAAATTTTTCATTGACAGTTTTTATAAACTTGTCTTAATATGTACCTTACCAGAACAGTATTTTTTTATGCAGATATGTCTTTTTTGTAATGGCGGATGATTTTTATGGGCGAGTTGAGAAGTGGCAAGTTGAATTTGATCACATAAAGTCAAAAACCAAACTGTTCGAAGAACGATTTTGGTGTCAAGATGGATGGTGGCCACGTCGCGATGTCAGAATACACTGAAAAATAAAGCAAATTGGGTGGGGATAAAGATTTTACAAGACAATACACGGCGCTAATTTAGTCAACGACAGCAAAGGAAATTGTATAAAGAATGTTTGTGTCGGTGAAAATTTGCCAATGGAGACGCGAACATGAGTATTATGATCTCAGACCAGACAAAAATGCAAAAGTGTAAAAGAAGCTACAGAACACCAGGACAGCGTCAAGAACCACAGTACACCATGGAACCACAAAGAAACTACACAGCATCACGGTAGCGTCAAGTAACTACGAAATACCATGGTAGCGTCAAGTAACTACGGAATACCATGGTAGGGTCAAGTAACTACGGAATACCATGGTAGCGTCAAGTAACTACGGAATACCATGGTAGCGTCAAGAACCACAGTACACCATGGAACCACAAAGAAACTACACAGCATCACGATAGCGTCAAGTAACTACGGAATACCATGGTAGCGTCAAGTAACTACGGAATACCATGGTAGCGTCAAGTAACTACGGAATACCATGGTAGCGTCAAGTAACTACGGAATACCATGGTAGCGTCAAGTAACTACGGAATACCATGGTAGCGTCAAGTAACTACGGAATACCATGGTAGGGTCAAGTAACTACGGAATACCATGGTAGCGTCAAGTAACTACGGAATACCATGGTAGCGTCAAGTAACTACGGAATACCATGGTAGCGTCAAGTAACTACGGAATACCATGGTAGCGTCAAGTAACTACGGAATACCATGGTAGTGTCAAGTAACTACGGAATACCATGGTAACGTCAAGTAACTACGGAATACCATGGTAGCGTCAAGTAACTACGGAATACCATGGTAGCGTCAAGTAACTACGGAATACCATGGTAGCGTCAAGTAACTACGGAATACCATGATAGGGTCAAGTAACTACGGAATACCATGGTAGCGTCAAGTAACTACGGAATACCATGGTAGGGTCAAGTAACTACGGAATACCATGGTAGGGTCAAGTAACTACGGAATACCATGGTAGCGTCAAGTAACTACGGAATACCATGGTAGCGTCAAGTAACTATGGAATACCATGGTAGCTTTAAGTAACTACGGAATACCATGGTAGCGTCAAGTAACTACGAAATACCATGGTAGCGTCAAGAACCACAGTACACCATGGAACCACAAAGAAACTACACAGCATCATGGTAGGGTCAAGTAACTACGGAATATCATGGTAGCGTCAAGTAACTACGGAATACCATGGTAGCGTCAAGAACCACAGTACACCATGGAACCACAAAGAAACTACACAGCATCATGGTAGGGTCAAGTAACTACGGAGTACCATGGTAGTGTCAAGAAACTACGGAATACCATGGTAGCGTCAAGTAACTACGGAATACCATGGTAGCGTCAAGAACCACAGTACACCATAGAACCACAAAGAAACTACACAGCATCACGGTAGCGTCAAGTAACTACGGAGTACCATGGTAGCGTCAAGAAACTACGGAATACCATGATAGCGTCAAGTAACTACGGAATACCATGGTAACGTCAAGTAACTACGGAATACCATGGTAACGTCAAGTAACTACGGAATACCATGGTAGCGTCGAGTAACTACGGAATACCATGGTAGCGTCGAGTAACTACGGAATACCATGGTAGCGTCAAGTAACTACGGAATACCATGGTAGCGTCAAGAATTACGGAATACCATGGTAGCGTCAAGAAACTACGAATACCATGGTAGCGTCAAGTAACTACGAAATACCATGGTAGCGTCAAGTAACTACGGAATACCATGGTAGGGTCAAGTAACTACGGAATACCATGGTAGGGTCAAGTAACTATGGAATACCATGGTAACGTCAAGTAACTACGGAATACCATGGTAGCGTCAAGAATTACGGAATACCATGGTAGCGTCAAGAAACTACGAAATACCATGGTAGAGTCAAGTAACTACGAAATACCATGGTAGCGTCAAGTAACTACGGAATACCATGGTAACGTCAAGTAACTACGGAGTACCATGGTAGCGCCAAGTAACTACGGAATACCATGGTAGCGTCAAGTAACTACGGAATACCATGGTAACGTCAAGTAACTAAGGAATACCATGGTAGCGACATGTAACTACAGAATACCGTGGAAGAATCAAGAAACTACAGCATACCTTGGAAGAATCAAGAATCTACAGAATACCACGGAAGAATCAAATAACTACAGAATACCATTAAAGCTGGAACAGTAATGGAAGATCTGACACATATTGACACCAAAGAAGTTCGAATCTTAAAAGTATTGCAGATTATGAAACCAAATAAATCACAAATACTCGATGAAGTCTATCCAGTCACTGCACAATAATTAAATTGTAAAAAATCAGCGACCCTTCTTTTCCAAAACTCTATTAACAGTACCAGAGGACTGGAAACTGGAACATAACTGTTATCCTGCAAGAGGAGACCTAAAAACAAAGCTGAAAATTACAGGCCAACCAGTCTAACTTCTATTCTACCCAAAACAACGAAAAAAAATCAGGGATGGTATCATGAATGACTTCTAACTAAACAATATAATGACTAAACATCGATATGAGTTCAGAAAAGGTCAAGTCACAACTAACTAGAGCACTGAGAAAATGGACAACATTCGACAAAGGAAATAAAGTGGCCATTATATATCTAGATTACCGTAATGGTTTGATACAGTTCCCCGTTACAGACTATAAGATATCTACAAGGTTACGATGTGAAAGAAAACAGCTGTCACAAATTTAATATTACAAAATGTAAACATATTCATTTGTGAAATACTGATACAAACCATTCCAACGAATAATGATATGGGATATTCACAAAGGAAAAAGATTTGTGTGTTATCGTGAATATCAAACTAAAGTTTAGAAAATATGTTCAATAGGCAGCAAAGATACAAACAACAATCTAGACATAATCGTAAATACGGAAAAGCTTTAAGACACTTTCACAAAAATATGTTCCTAAACGTGTACAATACTCTAGTTTGACCGCTACTACTAAAGCAACAACAGACAGCGCGACATTATAGAATGTGTCCAAAAGAACAATACAACTTGCAAAATCCATCAAAAATCTGAAAAACACCAGGATTGCCTAGAATAGCGATGGTTTCGGGCAGGTATGATACAGGTTTATGGAATCTTCAAAGATATTGCTATTTGTAAATAACACGACCTATTTGAAATTCAACCAGGTATTCCTTCATGAGGACACAGTATAAAACTAGCGCAAAAAAAAAACATTCGTCTCAACACTCGGATTTATAGTTTCACGCAACAAGTTGTAAACAATTATAACAACTTATTAGAAGACGTAGAAGAAGCAGAAAATGTCAATAATATTAAATCAAGAATAAGTAATTGCTGGAAAAGACATCAACTTAAGTTTGTGGCAAACTGCTGTCATCGGAGGTGCCAAAATCAGAACAACATTTACGAATTAGGTCAGAGAGGACAAGGGTCTTAATTATAACGATCTCTTAGACATGTAATATGTAAGTTCGTGGTTTTACTGCGTTGGAGAAATCAATTACATATTCTTATTGTTTTTACATTAATGTAGTATTTATTATGATAAAAAGAGAGAATAATTCTTTAAAATTTTATGTTTGACTTTCAATTAAATTTCCTTCCATAATATTGTGACTATTTTGATGTGTTGATGGCACGCTTTAAATCATATCTTGTTGATTTAAACATATTTTATTGTCGACAAAAGACAAATGGATAAGAGACAAGTTCTTACAACTTATAAACTCTTCTCCACAAATACAGTACAGATAATATATTACAACACGTGACATATATTCGTACAATAAACATAAAAATACAGAATTATAGATTTCATGTTTAAGTCAGTTTGTGGATCCATAATGCTGTAAAATCAGGAGTTGATGAGAGAGGGAGGGAGAGAGGGGAGAGAGAGAGGGAGAGAGAGAGAGAGAGGGTGGGGGGAGAGAGAGAGGGGAGAGAGAGATTCATGGACGACTGCATTAGTAAAGATTCAGGTAGCATCAAATCGTTTGGACTGTTGGATATATGTTTGAACTGATTTTACTATTTCGCAATTAGTTTGATATGAATAAGAGTTAATGTCACCCCATAATAAGGTTTCTACGTTAAAAATCACGTCTAGGTCATATAAAATATCAAACAATATACGTCTACAATTAGAAAATAAAGGGCACGAAAGAAAATAGTGACTTGCATCTTCAACGACAACTCCACAAGAGCAATTTGGACAAATTCCCACTCTAAATAAATCTGAGCGTAATCCACTACAGTTGTTCCTTATTCGACAATGTATAACGGAAAGGAAACGGTTACCAGAGTATAGATAATCTGGAACAGAAAAGTTAACGGGAGAAAGTTTAGATCTGAAGGTATTTAAAGACGGAGAGGCTTTGACAGAATTATCTACTTTATTCCACAAATTTATAGACAGTGATATCTTGTTATCATTTAGTTTAAAACTGTATTAAAATAACATAAACTAACATGTAGCTTCTTTTATAAAAAATGTTAATCTGTATTGATTTTAACTATACCTTAATTACCAAAAAAAAGTTTTAAAAGTATTCACATCAAGAGATAGTGTTAAAGTTCCTATCTTTGATCGTGTTTAATGATGATGATTATTAACAACCAAAAACCGATCTGATATGAATAATTATGAGGTGAAGCTTCCGTTAGATAATTACTGATAATGGCTGTAACTAAAAATTCAAATCTCTTTCTTACGTATACAAAAATCTAACTTTCACAATGCTACACTCTATATGGTTACATGGAACTGGTATTAAAAACGGATTATGTAAATTGGAATTAGAATATTTAGGGAAGTTACGTCATGTGGATAAAAATGTGTACACGACTTTCAGAGAGAGAATTATTGACATTTATTTTTCTCAAAAAGTTATAGGAAAAAACAAGTTCTACTCCTAAAGGTAGTGTACAGGTTCCTATGTAAATGACTTTTGTTTAGAGAAGTACATAATATATTATAATATAATATAATATAATATAATATAATATAATATAATATAATATAATATAATATAATATAATATAATATCAGTAACTAAAACTTCCGCGTCACATGATTTGTCCATTAAAACTTGAAGTCATGATGTAGAACAGGGCTTCATTTGGTTAAGTACTGAGAGACATTGCTCGATGAATAAATGACAACTTAGAGCATCACAAATGCTCATCCCCTTAACTCTACTTTCAAGTAAACAGTATCATTTAAAAACTGGAACCTTAGTTTGACGGTATAGTTACATTGTAGAACAGTTTGTTGGAAGATTGGATAGAGTGGATAACTATTTCTATGTATGTATTTAACCGACGATTTATTTTCTTATTTTCTTTTTTTTAAGTTGAATTGTTAAACCATTAAATAGTTATTTTATGTTACTGTAATAACTGACGTCAGAAAAGTCCTTAAAAGCAGATATAATTCGCTATAAAAAGAATGCCATTTTCTGGACACGTATCTATTTTTCTATCCTCAGGGATATTGAAGAGAAGCTATGTAGTCTTGAGAAACTCTGTTTCCGTCTCCGTTAATTGTTATGTCTCTTATACACGTGTGAAACACATTAATGTGTTAAAATAGCTCCCTTCGATCAAGTCAAACATTGCAATTACACACCAGCTATAAACCTTCCGGTCAATGTTTTCAGGAAAGCGATCTATCTGTAAACGGGAAACATATCATCATCATCACCAATTAAAATGATGTGTTTAAACCGGCGTGATTCTGATAAAGACTTAAACACTGAAGGAAGTTGAACTTACAACTACACGGTACCACGATATTGCACAATTAATATAAATTATCTTCATTCATTCTCCGATAGAAACGAATGCGAACATTTGTATATAGTTATGATAACGCCCCAATGAACGCTCCTTAAACCATTTAGTGTTCAAACCATAATTATAGCGTCAAAGAGTCAGACAGGGGAGACAATTTAGGTTCTGAAGGACTAGGCAAACCACAATCCGTGTAAGATCTCAACGGCCAGACACAAACACCTGCTTAATTTAATAGCAGGGTAAGTAGTCTGTACAATTACAATGACTCTCTCATTGCGCAGATTTCCCTTATTTTCATCGCCCCCCCCCCCCCACAAAGAAAATAGAACATCCTCGGTGATGAGTATTCTGAATCAATTTCATGTATCTACGTTTTTATACTTCATCGTCTCCAGACCGATATCAAAGAGACCCGATTGGGCCTACATCACTGAGATCATCCAAAGAAGCTATCAGTCAAATATCATAATTCTGGGCAATGTTAGTATAAAGTTGTTTGACAGTTTTACTAAATTTGACCCTGTAACATTGATATTGGTTCAAGGTAATTTCTCTTCGTAAACCCCATTCGGCTTCATACCAGAAACCTATCAACCAATTAGCAAAATTCAATGCTGTTTAGTTAACGAAAAGAAGTCGTTTGAATGTTTCGACATCTCTGACCTGACCCCTTTGCCCTTCAGATTAGGACAAGGTCATTCCATTTCTAAACTTTGTTGTGTTATCTCTATGGGTGATACCAGTTCAATATATATCTATTGGCCTTTCGGTATTTCAAAATAAGAGGCTTTGACATACTTGATCCATGGTAAAAAGGTTAAGGTCACGTTTTTGGCATATAGTTGACTCCAGTGATGTTGAAAGTAGATACATAAACTTTGTCATGCTCCTTTTCAAGGAAGCTACCTACCAAATATCATGTCCATAAGCAGTCGTTTAAAGGAAAGCTGACGCACGATGGAAGTCGCAACATGACATAAACTCGGCTAAGCTAAAGAGTCTATAGAATGTAGAGCGTTAGAATCATGTTGACTAGCCTGATTAATGATGTGTAACAGAGACGTCATTGGAGATTTGAGAGACAACGTCTGTATTGTATAATCGTTTTACAGTGACGTGCGGTATATATATTTTTTATTGTACATATCGGAATAGAGAACCTAAGGTTTATAATAGAAATAGCTATTACCGTTTCCGGCGGAATTCACTACAAGTCACGGCATACAATGAGCCAAGAATAAGACAAACGCATTTCCGTCAAAGGAAATATTTTACATACCATATAATGCTCAGCCAAACAAGGAAGTACAATTGATTTGATTGTAACTGATGTTATCATGTATATCCAGGCCTTCTGACTCATGCGATCCTTAGTCTGACGCTCATTGAGGCGAGCATTTACTACATACGCCCCATCCTCGACATTCCGGGCAACAGCGATGCTTAGGGACATGTCTAACATTATTCCAAGTCTCTATGAGGGCACCAGTATAACAGCGTTCATTTTTTTTTCAAAATCTCCGCTAGACTTCGAACCCGGAACCTCTGATTACTAGTCTTATGATTGACCGATCGATCGCGCAAAATTCTCTCTAGCCGCGTACCAAGGTTATATCTTCGAGTTTCCATGGTTACAGAAAAGCATTGAATTGCCAAAATATTGAAGTATTTACGAATGTGCTTTAATGAAAACATGAAATATATGATATAGATATATAACCGTCTGAAAGACTACAGACCAAATGTAAAAACAACTGATATGCATGTCCCAGTATTCGTCACACAGTGCTAACCCTTAAACAGTGCCAATTTCTTAAATATAGTTTATGATATACCAGTCAGTTTCATCTTATTGTTTTGGCTCCTGTAAACTTGTCAAAGCACAGGAGTAATAGTTAATGTTTAACTGTGAATGTTGATACCATTTACAGTATAACGAGAAACATACTGAGTGTATCTTTTCCCCATTAATGCAGACTTCCGATGTATGGAATGCAGTATATCTACTGAATAGGAATTGTCTTATCGAATGCACCGCACCTAAACGCTCCGGAAACACTTCCGGCGAAAATCATGGATGAAACACAAGATTCCACAGCGCCTGTCGGATGCCAGCATTATAAGAGGAAATGTGCCCTCATCGTAAGTTTCTTTTTTACCTTAATGACACTCGTAACTTGACACAATGCCGCTTACCGATGTTGTCATCGGATACAGCATTTCACTGTCATTTAACAAACATGATAACACTATGTTGAAAACAACAACATTGACCTCGACCTACTACATACCTGACCACCGTTATCTATGTATACAATAAAGTATCACGAAAAATACCACAAGATATTTTTTACCTGAAAATAATCTTGCTAATAAGAGTCACATTAGGCAAAAATTATTATAGTGTAGCTGGCAGTTCTGGAGTGAAAGAAATCTGAAATGAGCTACATGAGATTGATTACTTTGATGTAGAAAGGGTGTAAATAAAGCGCGATAAGAAACGGACTGTATCTCTTTGTAATGCTGTAGCAAAGAAATTCGAGACAACTGGCCTCTAAAACCATTTTCTTCCATACTTACATTACAAACTTTTTAAAGATAAACACTTTAACGGTGGTATAAAGCTTAACAATTTTCAAGATTATTGTGGCAAATAGTTTCTGTTAACTTTTGATATTTAAAAAAAGTAAAGATGCAACTTTAAGCTATTTACAGCTGAAGTACCACCCTATATTGTATACCAATTTCAGTTGGAAATATGGAGCTAAAGCTTGCAGAGACCTTATATTTGTCAGTAGCATGAACTACCAGGGGCAATAGTTGTACTAGTGATGTATGGAATGTTGATAATTTGTTCATTTAAGAGTAAAACACATACAGTATTTGTTTATAACTTATTTTCTTTACGAATCTGTAGTCAATTTACCTTTAAGATTCATGTGATTTTCAATTGATTGATATCAACTTTGTTAAAAGTTTGGTGAGGGGTATGTCACCCTCAAGGACAGATGTGATTCCAGCTTCAGTGATGCTATTCGCAATAATTTTAGTAACTAAAATTGCAGATAGATAGCCAGAACCCTTCTGATTATTTTTAATATATGTTTATTAGAATCCTGAGTAGTTTAATTGCAATTACCAAATAAGGTAGTATCTTGTACATGTAGGACACCTACATCTGATCCAATCCAAGGGTCATATTCTGATATGGATGATATTCAAACATTTGCTTCTAATCAAATGCTTTATATCATTCAATTACCTACCTTTCTTATTATTGTTTGCAAGTACATGAGAAATGATTTAGGTATAGAACATAACATTACTACAGCTCATGATTGATAAAGAACACACATATTTATACTAGCTTCTTTTCAATATGTTACACATGTAATGGCAGCCCCCATGCCCAGTAATGTTGTGGATCTGCATGTGTGAACATAAACACATTTGGATTGGTAAAACAATTTACAGGATCAGGTTGGATTATGTCTTGTGTGACCAAACTACATGTATAAGAAATGTATTCATTTCTGTAAAAAATAATATGTGATGTTTTGTGTTTAACCATTTCAAGCCAAAATTTTTTACATTAACACCATTAAAATCTCCTGTTCTCCCTCGAACCTGTAAATCTTCACCAGGTCCTGTAAATAGTTTGACCCCACTTGGAGCAATACAGTGGACCGCGATTAAAATTGTTTTCTACGATAACTGTATACAGGATTATTTTCGGAAGCTCAGATTGGATGCGTCTAAGACTGGTAAACCAGAGGTCACAATTAGATCTCTAGTGAAGGCATTGAAATAACAAATAACTACATGTAACATACATTTCACTGATATCTGTAGCAGTTATAGTTTGTTTATGACATTCTAGATACAGTGTATCATAAACTTTTCTTGACCATTGAAGTTTAAAATGAAAAAAAAATGTGTTAATGTCTGACCATCTATTGCTTTCATTGCAGTCACCTTGTTGCAAAAAAATCTATACCTGTCGAGTTTGTCATGATGATGAAGAAAATCACCAGCTTGTGAGACAGGAAGTTCAAGAGGTCAAGTGTCTTATTTGTGAAAGAGTTCAGAAGGTAAGCTGTAACGTATTATATAATATTTGGCTTGGATTTTGGTTAAAGTCGATTTGAAAGAATTTTTCAAATTACCATTAAAGAATTTCACAAAGATCTGGGTGGTCCATCTATATATATAAACAAACATATTTGTTTGCTTTATCACCCTGTGATCAGAAAGGTTCATTTTGAGACGGAATCTCCATGTGATAACTTTTGGATACCCCACTGAACAACATACAGGAGACCTGTCAAATAGTTAAATTGTAGATAATTAAGCTATCAGAAATTACAAATGTTTTAGAATTTAAAATTACAATATTGACAGTGATGAATTAGCAGTCATGAGATTTTGTCTACATTTACTGTCATGAAATCTTTTGACATTAGTTGTGGTGAAGTTTATCTACATTACACGTACCTGTGATGAAGTCTTATCGATATATATATATATATTAATGATAACGGTGATCAATAACAATGCTGTTTACAGATAGTCTTTATAAAGTATTATCTCATTTATAGTTGTTTGGAATTGATATAGAGTTATAGCATTAAATTCCTTTCACTATTGAAGGTAGAACATTACAAAATCTCCAGACTTTACAGCTACAAAAGAAAAAAAAATGAGAGAGAAACAAACAAAAACAAAAGTCAAGCTTATCTGTAGATCTTTTATAGGATCTTAACCCTTTCGGCGCCGTAGGCGACTGAAGTTGACATGCAGACAGGCTGCTGTAGGCGACTTTAGTCGACAATTTTTGCCATTGTTCTCGGATATTTTCCGGAAAATATTTGGCGCTGAGCTGTATATTGTGAGATATATTTGGCGCTGAGCTGTACATTGTGAGAAATATTTGGTGCTGAGCTGTACATTGTGAGAAATATTTGGCGCCGAAAGGGTTAAAGAGTTACTTTTGATGTTTTCAGGTGGCTAGGTCTTGTGAGGGTGAGGATTGTAAGACAGTGTTTGGAAGATACTTCTGTGAGAAGTGTAGACTATATGATGATGAAAACAAGAAACAGTTCCACTGTGATAAATGTGGTCTATGCAGGTTTGTTATACATATACCACTGGTAAAGGAATTATTACTCTATGGGGTTTTAATTTCTGGTCAGACAATCATGCTGATTCAATAGTAATGTGCCCATTAGGCTAGTGGTACCTGTTTCTGAAATTCATGGAATTTTATTTCTGTATGGTAAACCACATTAAATTTTTTTCCTGATTTATGTTAACTAGAACTAGCAGATTTTACACAGGCAGTGAAAGTCCCTTGTAAACCAAAAGTGTTTTTAGCATAGACATTATTCAGGGATTATGTAAATATCTAGTTGGCATCCTAGGTAGTAAAGTAGGCAGTTAACAGTGAAATAGTGAACAGTCAGTTTATTTTAGATAACATAGATAGATAGAGTTTGGTTTCATTTTGAAATGTAACCAAACTTTCTGGTACATGTTCGACTTTCAATTCCAATGGAAAATATTTTAATTCTTTCTCAAGTAATTTAATTAATACTTTAGGACATTTACAAGATAAGAACTGAAATCTTTTCTAGTAAAGAAGTGAAACAAATGATGGAATTTTGAAATTTTGTTACAGAGTGGGTGGGGATGAGAACTACTTCCATTGTGATACATGTGGTGTGTGCCTTGCAAAGGAACTGAAAAATGCCCACAAGGTTGGTTTGTTGTGTGAAAATCAGAATTGTGTTAATAACGAATGATTACTATAATTTTTATTTTAATTTCATTTTTTTCCCATTTAAGTGTATAAATAAACCAATATGAAGTGAATCATTAGGCTATTTAGCTGCCAGTACAACTATAAATACACATGCATAATTTATCAAATAATTTATAATATTGTATCATAAATTCACAATAAAATATCAATACTGATCATAGGCTTACTGCTTTTTCTTATCTGTAATGTTACTCTGTCACAATGATAAGGGCCCATGATTATATTAGTACAAGGTCCATGGTTATATGAGTACAGGGGCCCATGGTTATAGGCGTACAAGGGGCCATGATTATTGGAGTACAAGGGTCATGGTTATAGGCTTACAAGGGGCCATGATTATAGGAGTACAAGGGGCCGTGATTATAGAAGTACAAGGGGTCATTTTTATAGGAGTATTTACGATGGGCTAATACAAGGGATGAATGGTTGTGGGTTATCTAATGATTGCTTTTTTACTGTGGGCTTATACAAAGGGCTGTAAATGCAGGTCATTTATGAACCCTTGGTTGTGAGTTATTTACTATGTACTGATGCAAGGGACTGTGGTTATTGAAGTTGTATGACAAATCAAGTTCTTCTTCCAGTGTATTGAGCAAGCTTCACGGTCAAATTGTGCTGTATGTTTAGAGGATCTCCATACATCAAGGATAGCTGCCCATATACCCCCATGTGGCCATCTCATTCACTAGTAAGTACAGATACTCTTGTGTAGTAACAAAAATATCATTTACTAGTAAATAGATACCCTGTTAATGAAAAAAATCTTATTCAGCAATAAGTAAGTGAAGTTTTCACAATTTTATTGAATGTTACAAGTACAATTGTTGTAAATTTCAATAAAGTCATGGATGGACCCTGGTTTTCCCAATTAATGTTATAAGTATCATATCTTGTAACAAAATGTAACAAACTATAGAACCTCTTAACACTAACAATTTAAACATTATTGATGATATAAGTTTCTCCTACTTTCAGTGCATGTTTCAAAGAAATGTTAAAGACTGGGTAAGTAAATTTTCCTCATTCTTAGAAATTGGATTTTGCTCGGATAATACCATTTTGTTCTAGAACTGACCATGTACTGAAAACCGACCTCTCCTTATGGATGTTTCTGTAATGGTTTTAGTATGATTCTGAGCAAATCTTGTTGTTTGTGTTATAGGAACTATGCTTGCCCAACCTGCAACCATTCAATGGTCAAGATGGACAATGTTTGGGAACACATTGATGAGGAGATTGCACATACACCTATGCCTGAGGAATACAGGGATTACATAGTCCAAATTCTCTGTCGTGACTGCCACAAGGTCATTTATCAATCAAAATAATCCTTACATTGAGATAGAGTCCATTCCAAGAGCAATACATTGCCTTTTGAATGATTTATGAAGATTTTGATAGATAATCTTAATTCAATTTTAACAAAAATGGCATGATTTTGTAGGTAATCACCAAAATTGCATAAATAAGTATTTAATGGAAAACTAGAATACAACATGCTCTTAGATTTTGACATCAGATTTCTCAAAGATGTTGATTTAATGATTCTTAATAAAGACTATTACATCAGCAAGTTTAAAACAATTTCATTTTAAGGTAAGTAAATGAAAATATTTGTTTTATTTGGCTGAAGCAGTTAATGTTCATATCTACAGAAGAATAAAATGCTGTCTCTTATATTTCACTTTAAACAAATAAATGCAGTATCTTAGAATGAAATGTTTTTATGTTACAGGAAAGCTCTGTACTGTTTCATGTGCTAGGGTTGAAGTGCCAGCAATGTGGTTCTTACAACACTTGTAGAACAGCAGACCCTGTGGAAGATTCAAATGAGGACAACGGAAAACCAAGTAACACAGACGGGTCAGGAGATTCTGCCTCTTTCAGTCAGGATTAATCCACATCTTAGAAAGCTTGAGCACTGTGATAACAACTATACACCAGAAAAAGTCCTAAAACTCTTAATGTAACTGCTACAATAGTGATTCAGCCTCTTTTGTATGACTCACAGATTTATACTTAATCAAAACTGAATTTGTTGGTTTTCAACACTGAACCTGCATGTGTTGGTCTATATCAAATCTGAGGTATGATTTTTACCATTGAAACAACACATGTTGGTCTATATCACATTCGGAGTATAATTTTTCCACTGAAACAGAAAATGTTAGTCTATATCACATTTGGGGTATACTTATTACCACTGAAACAGAACATGTGGTCTATAAAAAAATTGGGGTGTAATTTTTACCACTGAAACAGAACATGTTGGTCTATATCACATTTGGGGTATAATTTTTACCACTGAAACAGAACATGTTGGTCTATAAAAAAAATTGAGGTGTAATTTTTACCACTGAAACAGAACATGTTGGTCTATATCATACATGTAACTAAATGATAATTTAAACCACTTCAGCAATATGTTGGTCTAAATTACATTTGAGATATAACTTTCACAAGTGAAGCAGAAAATCTCTGTCTATATTATTATACATATAATTTCAATAGTTTCAGTAAGAGAAGAAACATATCAGATAGATGTACTGTTTTGTTTGGAATATTTTCAAAGTCTTAAAATACAGTTAACCTGCATACTTAATACAAACTTATTTGTTTACAACAGTCTGAATTATATCAGCTGACCAGAAAATACTGCACTGAGGTCAATAACCCTGACTTTACTATTTGTACATTATTTTGTAAGTGTTGAGATTATCAAAAATATTGTGTTCAATTTATTTACTAATTTACCATATCTAATGATTTACTTCATTATTACATAAACAGACATCAAATTTATAAAGGGATGATTAGAGGGATGTTCTGTTTCTGTTCTTGATGACTGGGTAGAATGAAATTTAGATATGGGTCTTGTAGTACTTTGTGGTGAAAGCTAAAAACCTTTCATTTTGAAAACACATCCACTTCATGAAAGTCAAATAAGGTTTGTGAAAAGTAATTATTATTTTGTCAGAATATGAAAACCTGAGATAAAATAAAGTGTCTCCAGTGTTTTATCATAATCATGATGACTATCAGTCATGATTTTATTTTCATCTGTATAGTAACAGACTTGGGATAGAGAAAGCATTTATTAAGTACCTGCATTTAGTACAAGAGTAAAAATAATTCTTTTCTAGGTTTTTTAAAAATCAGTATGAACAATTTCCTTCATTTATTTTCCATATTTTTTTGTTTTACCTTTTTCTCAATGCATGGGAATTCATTATTTCGTATTTGAAATTAAGTTTATTTGGGTTTGTATTTTTTGCTAGTGAGAATATAACATGAATTTGAGTGGGATGAAACTTACAACATTTTGAGTAATAGTCCTAGAATGTTTCTGTATAGTACTGATACATGTCTTCCTTCTAATTTATTGTCATATCAAATTAAATGAAAATTTGTTTATTTTACAATATCAGTGAAACAAATGTAGTAATTCATATTGATCACTCTTGTTGGCTTTGAAGGTAGCTTGTATAGGAGTCTTATTGCAGGAGGAGACTGAAAAACCTAGAAAAAAAATTAACTGTAGCATTATTATTAATTGACCTTGATCTGAATAACTTTGAAGACCGTCCCATTGCAGAATACCAGTATAACAGAAGTTGAATTATTCCGAAGCTCATTTAACACTAATTGATATTTCTAAGAGGAAATAAGATATTAGAAAAACTCGTTTATTTCAATATTGAATTACAAGTATACTTGTACAGGTGTATAGCCAGGATAATGTAACCCATAAAAGTAGGATTTTGAAATACCAGTCAATTTAGATTGAATTAATTGCCCAGTGAAGTGGTACTCTCTTCATCTGTTAACTCATGGGGTCAAAGGAAATACCTACTTGACTAACTAGTGGTGCTTTAAAAGGATAGGGTTATATATACATATGTGGGTCTTTATCCACTCGCTTATTTAACTATTTAAAACTTTTAAGAGGAGAAAATGACAGTGTACTTCTTAAACACTCTGAAAATAATCAGAAAGCTATCTTTTGATATCAGTATGTCGCTATCTCACATGATATGTTTACTCTGCTGTCCATATTCAGCGTGATATGTTGTATGCCTAAGATGACAATCAACTACAAAACTTTGGTATATTGGAAATTTATCGTTTTAACAGAAAGAGGAAATGAGAATGAGTTTTTTATGATATCTCATACAGTTTTAAATACTGGTTATGATATAAAAACATGTTTGATAGATATTATCAATATGTGGAAGATGTTCAAGAGAGTAAAATATAATTTTTTGTGTTTAATTTGGAATATCGAGTAAAAAGATCCTGTAAAACGAGTCTCAGGTTCTGTTAAGTTCCTGTATTTATTTTGAGCTTAGACCATTCATCAGGTCCTTTGTTCAGTTTTACTTATATATGTACTGGTCCAAGTAGTATGGTGACTACATGTGTTGATAAAGATCAGTGATGGTCATGATATATTATGAATACTTCCAAATTGTTCCATCTGAAGTTATATTATGTATATGTAACATAGGTCATTATTTAGATGCCTCCATTGGGATTCAAACCTGGAACCTCTAGTTTACTAGTCTTAAGCTCAACAGACAAAGCTAAAGAGACATTATTTCTAGCTGAGAGGAATATTGTGGCTTGAATTTCACCATGGATATTTTCAGAAATAACACTTTTGTGTATTGATTAAAGTGATTTATATGTTAAAAAATATAGAATAATGGCACATATATTCATAAGATAAGAAATAGTCACAAGATATATTTTAAATAAATGTAAGCTAATATAATCTGCTGTCTCATAAATGTTACATAAGAAAAAATAATAAATTCATGTTTATTTTGCATATGATAAATACTAGATAATATATGATGGGTTTTGAATATATATACATCTACTGTTTATATGGAGCTTGTTCTGATTAAAAGTCTGTTATGTGTAGTTTAGAAGATTTTTCAGTGTTAACATCTGTTAAAGTTTTGTTATGGTTAAGAATTGGAGATAGATGTTAATCAGTTATGCTATAAATAAATAATGCATTTAATGTGAATCATATTCCATTCAATAACATTATATTTATTTTAAAGAATATCCGCTTTTTATGTGGCATTATCACAATTTACATTATGATATTAACACCATTTAAGTGCAGACTGGATAAGGTTACAGGTTTGACAACAACTGGAAAAATCTCATTTCATTGTAATGTTTCTGTGTTTTGCAAAACGATCATTTTCCAAGTATATTGCTAATATAGCTTATCTCTACTTCTTCTGAACTCTCTATACTGATGTCACAACAACACACTCCTGAGTGTCTAATACCATCAGATATAATGTGCTCTGTTAGGGAAATGAAATGTCTGATCTCTTCAGATATAATGTGCTCTGTTAGGGAAATGAAATGTCTGATCCCATCAGATATAATGTGCTCTGTTAGGGAAATGAAATGTCTGATCTCTTCAGATATAATGTGCTCTGTTAGGGAAATGAAATGTCTGATCTCTTCAGATATAATGTGCTCTGTTAGGGAAATGAAATGTCTGATCTCTTCAGATATAATGTGCTCTGTTAGGGAAATGAAATGTCTGATCCCATCAGATATAATGTGCTCTGTTAGGGAAATGAAATGTCTAATACCATCAGATATAATGTGCTCTGTTAGGGAAATGAAATGTCTGATCTCTTCAGATATAATGTGATGTGTTAGGGAAATGAAATGTCTGATCCCATCAGATATAATGTGCTCTGTTAGGGAAATGAAATGTCTGATCTCTTCAGATATAATGTGATGTGTTAGGGAAATGAAATGTCTGATCTCTTCAGATATAATGTGCTCTGTTAGGGAAATGAAATGTCTGATCTCTTCAGATATAATGTGATGTGTTAGGGAAATGAAATGTCTGATCTCTTCAGATATAATGTGATGTGTTAGGGAAATGAAATGTCTGATCTCTTCAGATATAATGTGCTCTGTTAGGGAAATGAAATGTCTGATCTCTTCAGATATAATGTGATGTGTTAGGGAAATGAAATGTCTGATCTCTTCAGATATAATGTGCTCTGTTAGGGAAATGAAATGTCTGATCTCTTCAGATATAATGTGATGTGTTAGGGAAATGAAATGTCTGATCTCTTCAGATATAATGTGCTCTGTTAGGGAAATGAAATGTCTGATCTCTTCAGATATAATGTGATGTGTTAGGGAAATGAAATGTCTGATCTCTTCAGATATAATGTGATGTATTGGAGGTTTCATCATTATTATAGAATATGGAATAAAGCATTGACAACTACGGGTTAATTTTATTAAAACATGGCATTATAATACAATGTTTAACATCTTTATTGCAAACATGAATAAAAGAAGATGTCAAAAAGATGATCCGCTTTTTATGTGGCATTATCACAATTTACATTATGATATTAACACCATTTAAGTGCAGACTGGATAAGGTTACAGGTTTGACAACAACTGGAAAAATCTCATTTCATTGTAATGTTTCTGTGTTTTGCAAAACGATCATTTTCCAAGTATATTGCTAATATAGCTTATCTCTACTTCTTCTGAACTCTCTATACTGATGTCACAACAACACACTCCTGAGTGTCTAATACCATCAGATATAATGTGCTCTGTTAGGGAAATGAAATGTCTGATCTCTTCAGATATAATGTGCTCTGTTAGGGAAATGAAATGTCTTATACCATCAGATATAATGTGCTCTGTTAGGGAAATGAAATGTCTGATCTCTTCAGATATAATGTCTTCAGATATAATCTCTTCAGATATAATGTGCTGTGTTAGGGAAATGAAATGTCTGATCCATCAGATATAATGTGCTCTGTTAGGGAAATGAAATGTCTGATCCCATCAGATATAATGTGCTCTGTTAGGGAAATGAAATGTCTAATACCATCAGATATAATGTGCTCTGTTAGGGAAATGAAATGTCTGATCTCTTCAGATATAATGTGATGTGTTAGGGAAATGAAATGTCTGATCCCATCAGATATAATGTGATAGGGAAATGAAATGTCTGATCTCTTCAGATATAATGTGATGTGTTAGGGAAATGAAATGTCTGATCTCTTCAGATATAATGTGATGTGTTAGGGAAATGAAATGTCTGATCTCTTCAGATATAATGTGATGTGTTAGGGAAATGAAATGTCTGATCTCTTCAGATATAATGTCTGTGTTAGGGAAATGAAATGTCTGATATATAATGTGCTCTGTTAGGGAAATGAAATGTCTGATATCTCTTCAGATATAATGTGTATATTGCTAATATAGCTTAGGGAAATCTAAATGTCTAATACCATCAGATATAATGTGCTCTGTTAGGGAAATGAAATGAAATCAGATATAATGTCTGATCTCTTCAGATATAATG